AATAAATCAAACGAAAATATCGTCTGCTTAAATGTGAAGGCCTGTCTTATCAACACATCTCTTTTTCAAAAATCTTTGTAAATACTTCATAACAAGTTAACAAAAGTACATCATCAACTTTTTCCTGACTTATTATCAGAAATAACAGAAAGTTCCATCCCCGAGAATAAACAACCAACATCTGCACCAACAATGTCGACGAAGTAAGAAACAACAATAATCGGCTTTGACAAATTGAACTTGAGTAGGCCGATAACTGATAAAAAAAGATAAACGTCAAGAATTTTTGAAAAAGTGAAAACAACTGATGACCATTATTAACCGAGTAACAATTTCATTATGAGGTCTGTCATTAACTGGGTGATTAAATAGCCTACATTCTAGATATATTTTTTATATTTTATTAAATTATCTCGTGAAACAATATTTTCTACAAAACAAATTAATACATTACTCCCACAAATACTAGAAATGCAAAACAAAAGACTTCTGGAGGAAGCTGGGACCGTTTCACAGCAATAGACCAGGCTGACCTCTGTTGAGTAGTCATAAGGATAACACTATATTGTTTGGTCATGTGCAGTGGGGAACTGGAAGGACATCCGACGAAAGCACATACTAACTAAACAGAGTGATGAAGAAGGTGTAGTGCAAGTTCCTTGTCTCGTCTATTCAATGGGGAAAGAGGCGGAACACATTTTGAAATCATTCACCTCTGCTCGCCTTTGCGATCGGTACAATTTCGAATATGTGCTAGCTCAGTTGTATAATCATTGGTAGTAGTTTGTATGGACTTTCTGAGTATTGTGGCTTTCGGGGCAAAAAGAATGAGTACATTCGTTTCGTGATAGGATCGTCCTTGGTATTAAGGACCAAGAATTGTCCCAGAGATTACAGATAATTCCCAATCTTGACTTAGAGACAGCTACACGTACCGCACGACAGACAGGTGATTTAAAGTCAGCTTTCCGATCGTGGGGAAACGACTAATCAGATGGAGTAAAAGGATCAGGATCCAAGGGCAGACAAGCACAGAAGGATAAAGGGATTCCAGATGTCCCAACAGGAAAGAGGTGTCATATGCTAAGGGATGAGGCACATGAGTGTTGGGAAAAGTTCAGACTCAGTCTGTGGAAAGACAACACAGTGGTCAAAAGTGTCTAGTCCGATTCAAACGTTGTCTTAGATGCAACCAGATGGGACATTTTATAGCGATGTGTCATGCTAAATATGTGCATGGAGTCACTGAGGATAATCTCCACGAGCAAGAGGAAGAATAATAATTCTTTGGAGGAACAATCACATGTGATGAGAATGAAAAGCCATGGGAGATAGATCTTGGGGTTTGCAGCCTCCAGGCGACATTCAAATTAGATTCAGCGCTGACACTGAAAGACCACAAGCCATTAGTGCCACTAATTAACAAGCAGGAAATCGACAAGGCTCTTTTTGAGGTGTACAAGTCTATTAATGAGACTGATGAGATTCAGTGCTATAGCCGAAAATGTCAGTGGGAAGATGTCCGTATCTGATTCACTATCAAGAAGCCCTAATCAGTCTATTGATAAAACAGTCGTTGAGTTGGAAGACAAAGTAGAAACCTTTGTTGACACAGTATCGGAGAATCGTCCTATGTCAGACAAGAAATTGCAGGAGATCCAACAAGCTACAGAAAGGGATCCTAAACTTCATCTGGTGATGAAGATAACACATAATGGGTGGCAGCTAGAGATTACTTCCCATAACGTGGGGAACTTTCGGTGTCAAGGAACATGCTAACTTTCAGAGACCGACTGGTCATTCCAGAAGCCTCGAGGGCAGAGATAAACATCAAGATTGATGAGGGACATCAAGGGCAACTGGTGGCCGAACATTAACAGGATCATCCAGGAGAAAATAGAATCATGCTCATCCTGTTAGGAACACAGACCTTCACAGAAAAAACCCCTTGACAACGTCAGAGTTACCAGACAGACCATGGCAACGTATTTATTTGAATTGGAGGGGCGACACTTATGGTTGTGGACTACTACTCTAGATACATTTACGTAGCACATCTCACTAGTACAACGTCAGTACACATCATCGAGAAACTTAAGGCAGCATTTGCCAGATGGGGTAAACTGGAAAAACTAGTGACGGACGACGGACCGCATTTATCAGCAAGTCAGTTCATCAAATTCACTACATCATGAGGTATGCAGCACACATCATCACCCCACCTTCCTCAGACTAACGGGATGGCTGACTCGGCGGTGAAAATTGCCAAGAGGAATGCCGTGCAGTACAATCCATGGCTAGCTCTGCTGAACTACAGAAGTCCAGCTCAGCTTATTATGGGACGCCAACTGAGAGGATCCATACCCATTGTAGAGCACGCTGTAACTCCAAAGTGGCCTCATTCCTCCGGAGTGAAAAAACATCAACAGACCAAGGAAGCAGTCCATTGAGGCATGTTATGATCGTCACAACCAGGCAAGGTTACTATGTGAGCTTAAGCCAGGTGATGAAGTCCGGCTCAAGTGGGATGGAGAGACGGGTTGGAAGACTCCAGGGGTCATTAAGACTCAAGCAGGTAGGCCCAGGTCATTTATGGTGCAAACGCCTTGGTCAGTGGGCAGGCATAACAGGAGGCATATCCAGAAGGTGCCCTTTTGTAGTGTGAACTTAGATAGCAGCAACGCCACAGCGCCAGATTTTGGATCTCTGATGAACTCAGATGTTTCCAACGATATACCAGTAAACAGAGAATACATGTAGTTGTGAATTTTAATGTCTCTAATTACATGCTTATTGGACCTCGGAAAGGTTTAACAGTTCTGTGTTCAGTTGGTTGAGAGATTATGAGTATTATCCTGAAGTACTATGCTGAAGTATTTCCATGGGTGACAGCTGAACTTTATGATTTGATGTTACATTTGGAATGTTTTACATTCTTCAAAAGAAAAAAAGAAAGAAAAGGGGCAGATGTTGAGTAGTCGTAAGGATAAAACTATATTGTTAGGTTATGTGCCGCGAGGAACCTGAAGGACATCTGGCAAGAGCACATGACAACGGACACACACACGTCATCTCCGAGAATACATTCATCTCGAACTATCACTCCAATGTCGCGTCGTGATTGGGATATAATGACGTCAACAACCTCGACTCTTTTTTCTTTGATGGCCGACCTATATCAACCCTACGGACAACAGACTGGGGATTTTTCAACGTGAGGGAATTATCAATAATCGAACATCTAATAAAACTTTTGTTTCAAAAACACAATTACATTAATTTTTCCGTCACATTTATCCCAAAATCTCTCTATCATATTAACTACTTTTTTTTAGAATACTCAAACTTAATTACAATTTAGCCTATATGTCTAACCATTAACAATTAATGTTTAACTTAACAGCCCTTTAAAAATATATCCCTTTTTATACCTAATTAACAGCAAAATTTATATATGATATTTGCCTACCTGGTAAACGGTGTGTTTGTTTCCGTTTAAATTGGCTGACACAGCATATACTGAGGGAAACAAATAAGGGAACATATGAAAGTACACGTTCCTTTATTATTTTCCGGGTTTCTTCGCATGCCTTGAGTTGCTCTGTGGGTGAAAATCTGGAAATAAATAAAGGAACAATGCGATGAAGTGGTGTTACCTTATTTGTGGTCCCTCAGTATATGAAGTCCAATAAATTTAAAACACTTCCAAAAGAAGAATTGGCGTCACATCTTCGACACTTTAATGCTGAACTTTCGACTGCTGACGGATTCCCCGCAAAACTGTCACTGCTGGTGATCCGTGTTGGTACACCTTAAAACCACTTGGTTACAGTCCCCTGTCCCATATGGTGAAAACAATTTCCAAGCAACCGCAAGTTAGTCGCATTTGCACAAATTATTGCGTTAGGGTTTTTTGTCGCATGCCTGACAGAGGCACGTGAAATCATCAAACTCACTGGTCATAAAAATCAACACGGACTCGTAGGCCGATCAGAAAAAGTACAAGTCGTGGATTCTACAGGGTTCAGGTTCGACAGTCAATCATGTATCCTCAGGTCAGGCCATTCCTTGTAGTGTTGTCAGGGGTACAATGCCACGGCAAACCAAACGGTAACCTGGTTTCTGTTGTGTCTGGAGGGTTTATATAACCAAGCTGTTACTTATTTACATCGTGTAAAATTGTTGCATTTAACAAATAGTTGTTTGTTTTCTTTTGACGAATAACACGTTGACGTTACAATGTTAAAAAAAACTCAACGAAGGACACCTACATCCCCCTTCACAGACGAGTTCAATTCGCCTCACGTGCCATGCCGCGGTACGAAGGAGTTTGATTTTAAATCGGTCATGGTCGAATGGAGATAAACATACTGTACTTGAAATTTAGATAAATGTCAGAATGAATTGATAGTTTCTTGATTTTATTTGCAACTCAACGCGAAGCCATGCATGTATGCCATTCTAAAATTAGTATACTATAAGGGTAACGCCATTTTTCAGTGCATTATCATTTGCAGAAGCCTGAGATCTTCCATTCACTGCCCGACGCAGGAGGTTATTATAGCTAAAATGGATGGAATTTGTTATTTAACGTGACGTCACCTATCCCTATCCTATGACGTCACCTAACAACGGGCGTGATATTGGCACATCGTCAAGCCTTGGTTGATACATGCCATCGATCCCGATTGCGTGGATCGATGCTCATGATATTAATCACTGGATTGTCTGGTCCAGACTCGATTATTTACAGACCGCCGTCACATAGCTGGAATATTGCTGAGTGCGGCGTTAAACAACAAACCAACCAACCATCGTCAAGCAATATGAGGGGATTATCAAGTTACAGAGGCCCGCTGAATTCTGATAACATGCGGGCGGTGTTATGATAATTATTTCCATTTTAGCTATAATAGCCTATGCTGCCTATGAAACCTATGAATATTATCATCAGGTCAGCTGTTACATGAATATAATCTTTGCAACACAGGTATTAGATGTGCCCAGTAATGCTGCTTCCTGCCTAAGCTGAACTGATATGACACTCTGCGTTGAGGGGAAGAATCTCGACTTTGAGATCAACGACTGCCCGGACTCTAGCAATGAAGTCCAAATTAGCCATGACAGAAGGATCAAGTGGTCACGACAAATGGACAGCATTCTTTCTTTGGTTGGATACTGTGTTGGCCTCGGGAATCTATGGCGATTCCCCTACTTCTGTAACAGAAACGGTGGCGGTAAGAACAGTTATAAACAGTACAGCGGGGGTGTAAAAGGTCTGAGACACTTGGCATTTTGTGGAAACCCACGAGACGGTCATGTGCGGACTACACCAAATCCTTGTGTGAAGTGACTATACCTGGTGCCCAGGACATGCTTACCCCTTTCGCGAACACTGATTTTCAGTGATCTACGGTGGCCCATAAGGGACATGGAGTTCGTTTTTCCATCTTTGGATATTTCACTTACTTTTATCGTAACCTTTTTCAAATTAACACGATTTGTCTTACAAATATGTGATAAATCATGTGTAAAGAAGATACTGAATCGCTGTAAAGTGAAACGAAAATGTCACAAACTAATCGAAAATGTCAAAAACAAAAACGAAAATGTCAAAAACTAAAATGAAAATGTCAAAAACGAAAGCGAAAAAGTCAAATTTTATATAAAAATACAGAATACTGTTTCATCCGCGGTGAAAACTATTTACACCGCGGTGGAAATAGTTTTCTGTAGTTTCATTTTCGTTTTTGACATTTTCGTTTTTGTTTTGACATTTTCATTTTAGTTTTTGACCTTTTCGTTTTAGTTTTTGACATTTTCGCTTCACATTTCAGCGACTCAATAGCTACTTAATTTGAAAGAACATTTTCAATGTTTTCGGTTGTTTTTATACATGATTTATCACATATTTGTATGGTTGGTTGGTTTGTTGTTTGACGCCGCACTCAGCAATATTCCAGCTATATGACAGCGGTCTGTAAATAATCGAGTCTGGACCAGACAATCCAGTGATTGATATCATGAACATCGATCCACGCAATTGGGATCGATGACATGCATCAACCAAGTCAGCGAGTCTGACCACCCGATCCCGTTAGTCGCCTTTAACGACAAGCATAGTCGCCTTTTACGGCAAGCATGGGTTGCTGAGGACCTATTCTACCCCGGCTCTTTACGGTTCTATTCGTGTAGTAAATATTGGGAATGTATTGTAAGGAAAAGTAGAATCTCGTTGTCTCTTGACTTCGCAGGTATTTAAAGAAATAGCATGTCAAACATGGACTTAAAATCCAGGAAGCTCAACAAAAGATGTATTTTATAACATCGTCTCCATAGCTCCACAATCATATTTGGCAACATCTGGTGGAATTCATGTCATGTAACTTATACTTGGATATCAAATATTAGATAATAATATTTAAACCAACACCAATCAGATTTGGCGACATCTGTTGAAAATAAAAAATGCAAATTTGTAATTAGTTATTTCCGACATACATGTAGATGTGCACCTCTTATATGTCTGCGTGCCGCCGGATACCAATACATTTCCGTTCAGATATCCTCCCACAGAAGATCCACTAGGGGCACTGATCTAAAGACCAATTCGAAATTGGTCTCTTACCTTCCGCAAATCATGGGATAAGCCAGTTAATGCAATGTTTATATCACTACAACTTCCATCTATGGATTTGTTTAATGTCTCTATTAGTGAATTCCATCTAATCACACGCACTTTGAGATGTAATGACGCCGATTGTTGGTCACGTGATTTATGGAATGACACTGGTCATGAACATGGGAATAAGTTGAGGACTTTCAGACTCTTTAAGAATACTCTAAATACGTCGACCTATGTCCGCTCTGTTTTAGACAGACAGCAACGTAGTACCTTGGCAAAACTACGCTGCAGTTCTCTCCCTTTGGAGGTTGAAGTTGGTCGCTACTCCCGTCCAGACACCACTACACCTCCGTTTATGTAGGTTATGTGACCGCCAGTGTGTCGAACACGAAGTACATTTCCTCACAGAATGTGAATACTACTCTGATCTACGATATGACTATTCTCATTTGTTTTCTCCAATACATACTTGTCTAAGAAGTTTAACCCCAGAAGACCAATTTATATATGTTATGCAGAATGATAGTCTAGCTATTCCCCTAGCCGCAGTTGTTACTGCTATGTATAAAAGAAGACAATTTCAACTTGCATTGTAAGTAGTGCACTTCTGATCCATAAGTAATTGTTATTCTTCCTTATAGGATTTAACCACATGTTTATAAAAGTCTAAATATATTTAGTTTTAATGGTATTCTTCCTTAAAGGAGTCCTCAACAGTTACAAAAGATATTAACAATGGGACATTTTCAAATAAGTACTTATAAAATAGTTCTGTTACCACACGTTCGTATATATGTTGCATTTGTATCTCACTAAACGATGCTAGTATAATCTCTTTACATAAAACTGAGTTATTTTTTTATCTCTCGTGTCTAATATTAAACGCCTAAATATTTAATTATTTTACAAATTGACGGAAAAATATGTCCATCTGTATTATTATAAAACGAATTCCAAACATTTTTATGTTTAATATCATCACCAAGAGACTGCAAATGTTAGGATTAAAAGTACATTTCTATAATGTTTGGCTTCTAATCCTGGCATAATTAATTTATTGTTGTGTTTTTAAGCCCTTTTGACCGTCTAAATCATTTTTAGTCAATCTCTTAAATAAATGGACAGATTATTCAGTCAAAATGACTGAAATATTTGGACATTTTATAAATTGCTTGAGAGAATCACATTTTACAAATTGACTAATATATACACGCTTACAAAGGAAAAGACGTGTAAAAATAACGTCTATCGCGCATCGAAGAATTTCCCAACCAAGACGTAGGGGAACAAGAATAAATCTGTTTTATAGCAAATGAAGGAAAAGAAAATGCAGATATTATAACAACAACCTACCAAGTTTATATGTATAATTTTAGGAAGCTTTCTTGTTCGAGGAATGTATCCGTGAATATCCGCATAAAGGAACAATATCCCACACGTCTGCAGCTGTACAAAGAAACTTATTCGATGTCACTTTTCTCTGTAACAATCAAATATTTTAAAATATATATATCGTTTAGGGATATTATAACCTGTGTTCGTTTATCAACTGATCAATTAGTTTGTTTCAGGTGTTTCACATAGGTGTCACGTCTCAAAGGTCAGCTGAGACAGTCCACGTGACAACTATTTTCATAATGTCCATGATTCTTAAAAAGGTCCACTGAGTTAGATAACAATGACCAATCAATCAAAGTATAATCGGTTAACCCTTTGAACAAAGTATGTTGTTTTTACATCGGCACCTCATGCCATGTTATGAGTCTATTCCCTTTGCTTTAGTAAACCTACACATGTAAACACTTACTATTGACATATCCACTGTGCTAAATAACAGTGATTTATTAATCAACGTATTTTTCGTTAATCCTTTGATGGCTAGGAATGATCCGTTGATTTTCAAAAAAGTAAATCAACTGATCATTCATCTCTTGCTGGGCTGCCACGTTCATATGACATAACACACATTTCACCTCACTTCAAACCTGGATTAAGATTGAATAATTACCCCAGACACAAGAAACGCCAAATTGGAACCTTTATCAGGTAATCTCAGTGGTGCTACCACTAATTATACCTGTAATAAATTCATTAACTGAGCATCGAGTGAATGACAACAAATACACAAGTGAAGGGTTATACCAGAAAACGTGGATGACAACAAGGGAGTACTAATTGTATTATCCACGCAATTCGAAATCCGAAAATGCTTTCACTGCAGTGATACTTTTTATTATTATTGAACTATAACCATCAGGGGTATTTCCAAATGACGACAACCGATGAGCTTCCGCCGTCCTTTTTGTCTGTTTGTTTAGGCTGAAGTTATTAATTAACATGCGCCCTTTGTCGAAATCTCGATACATCACGGGTAACCAATCAGTGTTCAAAAATGCGTAAAACAAATATTGCCTCGAAGTTTATTTATGCTGTCTTTACAGACGGAAGTCCAGTCTCTTGTCAAGCTCAGTTGCGTGAGCGAGCAAATCGACTCACGGCAGCTAGTGAGCCCCAGTGGCCAGTGTCAGACAGCCGAGAAGAAGCCAGAGATTAGTGCCCCTTTAACACATGTATTTGATCCCTCATGAACACAAAGTTTACTCTGCATGGCGCTCGACATAAAGAGAATGAAACAAGGACTGGTCGGCTCGGAGTCAGTATACTGTGCCTGAATTGGGTATTCATATTGTACTAGTTGGCTCGGAGTCAGTATACTGTGTCTGAATGGGGTATTCATGTTGCACTGGTTGGCTCGGAGTCAGGATACTGTGTCTGGATGGGGTATTCATGTTGCACTGGTCGGCTCGGAGTCAGGATACTGTGTGTGAATGGGGTATTCATGTTGCACTGGTTGGCCCGGAGTCAGTATTGTTACGAGTTGATTCCCAAATTGAAACAATATGCTAACCCCGAAAATATGTATGTAAAAGAATTTAGTGCGAATCCAACAAACAACCAACAAATGGTAAGCCATCAACAATCGTATTACAAAATTAATTAGGTTTACAAATCAATACATATTACTGCACAGCAATTACATTGGCAGAAAGGAATAGAGTGGTAGTACAATATTCAATGTCAATATATAATATGATAGCAATGATCAGTATCCAATACAAAAAATGTGATGGCAGTGGTGATATTAAAAAGTTCAGTGATATAATATTCACCTATCCGCAACAGTGGTAAAGCTTCTGAAACTGAAATAGGCCTAGGCTGGGAATCCGGGGTGATCATTGTTCTTCACACAACCGCTGGTCTTGATGTAATGTCAGATGGACTGAGATGAAATATAAGATCCGACAGGCGCGCGCGCTCCGGAAGTTTACATATAATTCGAGCATCCAAATACAACAATTTCCTCACCACTGCTAACATTAAACAGTACTACAGTCCTCACAACTAATCATTGTCTACTAATAATTATCTTCTGCTGAATCTCAACAGAAACAATGTAATACACTTACAATCATTGTTAAACAATACATTACACTTCCTTACAACATCTGTTTGTTTGTTGGTTTACGCCGCACTCAGCAATATTCCAGCTAAATGACAGCGGTCTGTAAATAATCGAGTCTGGACCAGACAATCCAGTGATCATCATGAGCATCGATCCACGCAGTTGAGATACGATGACATGCATCAACCAAGTCAGCGAGTCTGACCACCCGATCCCGTTGGTCGCCTCTTACGACAAGCCAAGTCGCCTTTTATGGCAAGCATGGGTTGCTGAGGACCTATTCTACCCCGGCTCTTTACGGTTCTATTCGTGTAGTAAATATTGGGAATGTATTGTAAGGAAAAGTAGAATCTCGTTGTCTCTTGACTTCGCAGGTATTTAAAGAAATAGCATGTCAAACATGGACTTAAAATCCAGGAAGCTCAACAAAAGATGTATTTTATAACATCGTCTCCATAGCTCCACAATCATATTTGGCAACATCTGGTGGAATTCATGTCATGTAACTTATACTTGGATATCAAATATTAGATAATAATATTTAAACAAACACCAATCAGATTTGGCGACATCTGTTGAAAATAAAAAATGCATATTTGTAATTAGTTATTTCCGACATACATGTAGATGTGCACCTCTTATATGTCTGCGTGCCGCCGGATACCAATACATTTCCGTTCAGATTCTACCTATTCTACCCCGGATCTTCACGGGCCGCCTTATAACAGTATTATGTGTCTGAGTGTATTATTTATGTTGGACTGGTCAGCTCACAGGCGGTATGCTGTCTCTGAGTTGGGTATCGATGGATGAATGGTCGGCTCGGATATAATATACTGTGTCTGAGTGGGTTATCCATGTTAAAGTGCGGCATGGAAAGGTTACAGGTGTTATTTGTTTACCACGTCGGTGAAACAACTGAGCACCAATACCGTGCTAATCGGAATTCGAACCTACGACTATAGGCACGTCTAAAGTACACATCTCTATAATGAAAAAATAAACCGAGGCGCAAAAGAAACTATATCTCTCAGTTGATTTTATCATATGTTTGATTTTAAATTGAAAATATCATATGGTATCCAGAACATGTACTGGTACTTAGTACTCCAAGAATGCTTCTACATGTTTACTATGTACTATGAACCTGTGTCTGCTCCAGGGGCGTTCCTCGTGCCATATCTGCTGTGCCTTGTCCTGGTAGGACTGCCCCTTTTCTTCCTGGAGCTTTCTATTGGACAGTTTTCTGGAAGTGGGGCCATGCACGTGTGGAGTATATGTCCACTGTTTAAAGGTGAAATTACTTTGTATAAAACATGAAATCGACATTTACAAATCCACAAATAATAATGCAGTTCAATGTACATTCTTCAATATGTTAAATCTCACGTTATCACAAGCCATGCGGGGGCACGGGTGGCCCCGTCGTCTAAGGCGCCGCGATTCGCTGTGCAGAGTTGCGTCCCTTGGGCACGCCAGGAACCTATGATTGTGGGTTCGAATCCCGGTTCGCCCCGATTATGTTTCTAGGTTTGTCAGCACCATACCCGTGCTCGTGGGTTTCACCGAAGTGGTAAACGTCTGAGACCTGCATCACTTCGGGCTTTCCTCCCACATTAAGCTAACATGCCGCGATATAACTGGAATATTGTTAAAAGCGGCGTTAAACCCAACTCACTCACACTCACAAGCCATGCAATGTCACACTACTGTCGCGCCAGGACGATAATAAACCTTACAATTTTCATATGTAATGTTTAGATTCCTTAATAACATGCAGTGACAGGTACAATGTGGTCTTTCTATCCCCAGGCCTTGGCTATGTGATGAGTATTGCCTCTTTTATCTGCTCCTTCTACTTCAACCTGATCATTGCCTGGTGCCTGTACTACCTGGTGATGTCCTTCTATCCTGTTCTACCCTGGACCACCTGCTCCAACTGGTGGAACACGCCAGCATGTACCACCTTGAACACGCCCCTGTACTCTGACAATTTAACGACAAGTAACAGTTTAACATTGACCAGGAACATCAGCATGTCAAGTTATGTCAACGAAAGCCTTTCCAACGTATCAAGGTCAGCAGCAGAAGAGTTTTGGCAGTAAGTGATGCAGGACATTTGCAGTGACACATTTAACATGAGCAACATCGACTACTAAACAAGGCGTCGACTACCTCGTATCATTAAGCATATGGTCGCGACATCTGGTGATAATGATCATGTGTTAAATTCATAATTTAAATGTTAATGTTAATTATAATGATAATGATCATGCTATTTTAAATGTTAATGTAAGTGATGGATTTTAGTCAAAGCAACGTTTCACATACCTTGGTGTGTTTTAATTTGGACATGTACTTCGTATTTTAATTTGAAACAGAGTGCGTGAGATAAAATTCAAAACACAGTTTGGTTTATCTTAATTCTACCATGACGACAAGAACTGTCTCAAAACGGTAGTCTTTTGCATCGCTTTATACACCACGCCGTGATATAACTGGAATAATGTTAAAAGCGGCGTTAAACCCAACTCACTCACTCACTCACTCGCTTTATACACATGGGTAAATAGAACATAGATCAGCGATCTTAGAACGTTCCGAAAAGGGGCCATAGATAGTCCTAAGTGTAACAAATATAAGATCATTTACTTTAGTTTATTTTTGACTAAATCAAAATACTGGTAACATCATACATGGTATTTGTTAAAAAAGAATTGACGAAAGTTTTTTTTTTTATCGCACCCTGTTGCGTATTTGTACTGCTTGGACATGTTATCTGTAGTAATGTTTAACATTTACGTGATGATTTACTGGCGGAATAGGGCGCACTGGCATAACCCCTCCCAGCCTGAAATATGACGACACGAGAGGTACAGTTCATTATAGTGTCCGATGATTATGTGTCCGATGATTATGTGACCGATGATTATGTGGCCGATGATTATGTGGCCGATGATTATGTGGCCGATGATTATGTGGCCGATGATTATGTGGCCGATGATTATGTGGCCGATGATTATGTGGCCGATGATTATGTGACCGATGATTATGTGACCGATGATTATGTGGCCGATGATTATGTGACCGATGATTATGTGGCCGATGATTATGTGGCCGATGATTATGTGACCGATGATTATGTGGCCGATGATTATGTGGCCGATGATTATGTGACCGATGATTATGTGGCCGATGATTATGTGGCCGATGATTATGTGACCGATGATTATGTGGCCGATGATTATGTGGCCGATGATTATGTGGCCGATGATTATGTGGCCGATGATTATGTGACCGATGATTATGTGACCGATGATTATGTGGCCGATGATTATGTGGCCGATGATTATGTGACCGATGATTATGTGGCCGATGATTATGTGGCCGATGATTATGTGACCGATGATTATGTGGCCGATGATTATGTGACCAATGATTATGTGGCCGATGATTATGTGGCCGATGATTATGTGACCGATGATTATGTGGCCGATGATTATGTGGCCGATGATTATGTGGCCGATGATTATGTGACCGATGATTATGTGGCCGATGATTATGTGGCCGATGATTATGTGACCGATGATTATGTGGCCGATGATTATGTGGCCGATGATTATGTGGCCGATGATTATGTGACCGATGATTATGTGGCCGATGATTATGTGACCGATGATTATGTGGCCGATGATTATGTGACCGATGATTATGTGGCCGTGACAAAGTGGTTTTAGTGTGTTTTAGTTAAGCGTGTGTTCTGAAATAGAGTTCGTCATGTCTGATAAACTGTTGTTCTGATATCGAACGTATTCAATATTCTATGTTGTCGTTATTCATTGTTAAATGCACCTACAGATTACAGATTTTATGTGAAAAGGCTTAATTCAAAAGAAGTATCAATATAGAAAATGTATTTTTTTTAATAATCAGAATTAGGCATTCTTCAATGGAATGATGATCGCTTCCAAATTAAGGGACTGAAGTTTCGTTGATGGATTGACTGCACACATTTTTTATCATCATAAATGCCCTCAGTTCCATGTACTTTCCCGTGGCGTCTATATACACAAGCACACATTATCATCATGGTATAAATGACACTATCTGCTTCAGGTACAACGCACTGCGTGTTTCTGCTGGGTTGCACGACATGGGAGGAATACAGTGGCATATGGCTCTTGCATTCTTTGCTGCATGGGTCCTCATATTTCTCTGTCTGATCAAAGGTGTCAAATCTGCTGGAAAGGTAAGTCCAACCACTCACAGGGTGTCAACCAGTAATGTAAAGTCGGTGTTGAGGGGCAGCCTAAATTGTTCACTTGTATTTATTTGTTTGCTTGCTTGTGTGTTGTTTAACGCTGCACTCAACACAGTTCCAGCGGTATGAGCCTGGGCCTGACAACCCAATCGATATTGTGAGCAACAATCCGTATCGCCGGGGTACGATGTCTGATTGGCTCTTTCGACAAACAATTGAGCGCCCAGGACCTGTTCTTACCAAGTTTCATCAGGCTTGAAAACAGGAAAACAGAAGCAGTAATGTACCACAGCCGCTCACGTTACTTTGTGTCACAGAATGCTTATGTCCGAGCCCAGAACATTGACCACGCTGCTCGTGTTCCAGGTGGTGTACGTGACGGCCCCCCTGCCCTACATACTCCTCACAGTGATCCTCATCCGGGCCGTGACGCTGCCTGGTGCTGTCCAGGGTATCATCTACTACGTCAAGCCAGACTTCAGTCGACTTGCTGACTTCCAGGTTAATATATGCGAAAAAACCCTTTCCGTATTTAAAGCGAGTATACAATTCCGACTGTACCATGAGCAAGTGGTTATGAATCATCATTTAGCGATGATACCAGGTGTGAGCGTATCCTGCCCCACCGGTGGCAACTATCAGAAACACATGCAAAGGCAAGGTAATTGTTTAGCGGAAGTAATTCGTCATGTAATATAGTGCTGTACTAATGTAATCCTATTAATAATAGCAGGTATGTTTCGAGGTCCTTGATGATGGATCGATCGCTTTCCACTGTTGATGACCAGCTGACTTGGTGTCACGGTCGTCAAATGTTTATATGTTTTAAATGTGAAGTTTACATGATATACGGCTTTACCATTGGACGAGAGTCTGGTCACACGTCCGGGAAACTGACGCTCATAAATGTATGAACGATACAATGTGACTTTTATACGTTTTTTCAGGAGACGGTTTTCTTGAGAAAACTCCTGGGAATGCCCTTGCACAGATATATACAGACGCATTATTTCTGATTATCTAGACCCTACAATCTTGAACTCATATATTGAGAAATATCAGAGAGTTTGACTGCATGAGCGTTCACGAATATCCTCGTTACGACCCACCCTGAACAAATCGAAGAAATGCAAATCCAAACCATCGTAGTATAGACTCAATCCGTGGTTAGACTGACAGTGACAGACTACAACAATCTGTGCATTTACCTCACTAACCTTTTGTCATATCTTTACAATCACGTTTAAATGACCGACCAATGTAACACTTGTAATCGCCACAGGTTCATAAGCAGCTTCCTCCCGTCACGCTTTAGTCGACTATTTTGGCGTCTTGTACTTGATGTAAATATATTATGACGCGATGTTATTGTGATATTAGTTGAATATATTTGTTGTAGACAATCTACAACATATGTCACTGTAGAACAATGTGAGCCTGCACACGGCCATGTTGCCTCTCCTTTTGAGGAGCTACATTCCGCGACACAACCTGTTGTTGTATGGCTGTTGTTGTCATGGTGAATATGAAGCCGCACGTATTTTGTGTATTGATCTACACCCTTCGAGATAAAATATAGTGACATTAAAAAATATAAGATTCGCAAGCTCCGACCCTTACTCGATGAAGGTTCAACTCCAATGAACTCACACAAAGTGAAAGTCAATTTTTAAGTATGTAGTTCAGCACAATTCCTGAATGTGTCTCACTAGAGTATCGCTTCTTGTGTTCACAATGAGGAGAAAAATCTGATCATGCGATATGCATAGGCTACATTGAGTGAGTGAATGAGTTGGGTTTCATGTCACTTTGAACAGTACTCCAGTAAAATGAAGAAGGTCTTAGTCGTTTACCTCTTTGATGAAACCCACAAGCATGGGTATGTTGCAGACAAATCTGAAAACATACACTGCAAACACGTAAACGTCGTCTTTTTCGTATATGGTCATTCGACGGAAAAACGACTAAAAATTCATTAAAATTCATTCATGGTGAGCGTCTAGAAAGTGTCCGGGAAAACGTCGGGTTTCAAGCGTAAAATGGACGGAAAAACGATGCTTTTTGCTCCGCCTTGTACAACTGTTAACGGCCAATCAGATGGCGCTGGTCCCCCGACGCATGTGATACCAAAGTCCTCCTGTGGGGAGCAGTAGGTTTCGTATTTCTGGCATGCCTTGATCTAGGAACTGTTGCGCGCACTCCCGCGAGATTAGCTGATTAGTCGGTTTTAGGATATGAAACATATTAATGGAATTCAGACACGCGGCAAGAAGTCAAACCAAACCATGTTAGCAAGTTTATTGAGATAACATATCCCTCCGCTTTGTACAGTTATCTCTATCGGATAATGGATTGTGTTTTATTTGGTTATAACAGTAAATAACTTTTTAGTGTGAAGTTTACACGATATACGGCTTTTCTAGTGGCCGATAAGCCTTTATGTTGTTGTTTTTTCAATCAGTTATTTAAGAAATAAATGACGCGTGGCCGTTGTCCATCGTGAAATAAAACACTGCAGGGAGAATAAACCATGACTGGTGCAGCCCGGAGTGATTTATTCTCCGTGTTTTGTTTTATTGTACTATAAACAACAATCATGTGTAGTTTATTTCTTATGAGATGTCAATATTATGTACGGCCTCTATAAGGATAAAGCATACAAGCTTTATTAATATGTACCAGTATTTTAATAATGGAGATTCCCTGAAAAGAAACCTCGTGGCCCCGGCCCCATGAGGTACAATGTACGTGACTGCCTGAGAGAGAGAGAGAGAGAGGGGGGGATGTGCCCAGCGCTGAGCTAGTGACACACTGTTTACTGCATGTGATATACAGACATATTACACTTGATACATGTATACTGCATGTGATATATATTATATGTATACATACCAATAGTACCAACTCAGAATATATATTAACCAGCTGTGAGCTGAGATATCAGATTTTTACAAGCAGTCGAAAAAGGATTACACCCTGATGTACTAGAACAGAGTTGGTTATGTTAGATGGTATAACCAAAACCCAGCTGCTATAAGGGACGGGAGCTCCGGCAGGGGGCCAAACTGGACTTGTTATTGTGTGGTATGAGTTGTGATGTAAACTGTCTCCCTGACCCATTATAATAAATTAAAAAAGGGGTCCAACTTAAGTCTAGAATGATTGCGTCGAAATTAAGAATTGTTAATTTATATTTTGTAGACATTGATAGACCAACCAGGGAAGATATTGATGGGGAATTAATATCACATGTTCTCACTGATCCATTTAAATTCATCACACAATAAAATTTTAGTATTTGATATTACGAGGTGCATGATCATGTGCATGTTCATTGTAGTGATTTGCATACTAGTCAATTTGATTATGATGTATATTATAGTGCTGCGCGGCATCAACGATAGTGATTCTAAGTGAATTATTAATTTGTTATTATCAATTACAAGTCATGTATTCAAAGTTTAGAGGTTTGAACATGTGCATTGTATGACAGACATGAAATTGACGCAAGTGATTAAATTATTAATCTAAATTTATTATAGATAATACTGAATATATAGGAACAAAAGACTTAAGTTTAATTTCTCATTTTGAAAAAAAAAACATTTACATTTTTTATATATATATTTATTTTATTTATTTATTTATTTTATTTATTTATTTTTTTTTGGGGGGGGGGGGGGGGGGGTGTTAAGAATAGATTCATGTGTTTAATTGTTTGTTTTTAAAAGCCGCACTCGGCATTATTCCAGCTGTACGACGTTGGTTTGTAAATATTTGACTCTGGACCAGACAACCCGGTTATTGACATCAAGAGCATCGATCTACGCAATTGGGATACGATGACATGCATTAAACATGTCATCGAGTCTGACCTCCCGATCCTGTTAGTCGCTTCCTACAAGAAGGGTATCTTGAAGGACTATTCTAACCCTGATCTTCACGGGTAATTTTTTAATAATAAGGTACAATGACATTATGAAATTATGGTCAGTATAAGTGTGTATAAGTAGATGGAAAACATATTGGTACATGTCTATTCGACTGCATATGGTTCAATGATGAGCTCTTTCGCAATTCCATATTTCAATATATGTATTTGATATTCAAATATAACTCCACAAAAGCAACACAATGGCAACAAAAACTGTACCAGCATCACTTTTACCAACAATATATTCTTGAACACTAGATACATTTAATTACTTAAAAGTTAAATCACGTATCTAAATAGTGATTTGCAGGTTTAAAAACATACACTTTCGAAATTTTTCGTATTATTTTTGGGGGAGAGAGAAGTAGTGACAATAGTGACTGGTATCTGATGGGTTGAAACAGGTGTCGAGTCGCAGTCACAGATTGTCCAAATTGCTAAGCTCTTAAGATCACGACGGCGATACAGACCGTGAAGCAGTTTGTCTAACAGTCTCTGAACCATATTATTTTCTCTTCCGCCCAGCCCTTACTGTAATGCTTACATAGTCCCCAATGAAGCAAGCCTAGATTTTCAACAGGTTCAGGCTGAAATTTCCATCTCACTGGGGCTCCTTTTCACTTTTTATATTTATATGAAAATAATATATTTTCAGAGACTAATCCAAAATATCCCATGCAAGTCTAGATTTTTTTAGACAGACTCTCCATGTTCCTATATCACAACACAATTAATTTTTTTTTATAAATTCAGAGTGTCTATGTTAATCTTGCAGCTTGCTAAACATATCAGTTTCAACATCTTTTCAAAAGTGTTTTTCAGCACTGGTCAATAGGTTACATGCGCATGGCGATCCTTTTTCACGAAAAAACATATATACTGATGAATTTTAATATTACGCAAATAGATGTATGCATAAGTTTGTTCTCGAGATCTTTATTTGTGCTTTTGGCGCTTTTTCTATGGGAGATTATGAGGTTATTATTTGTTGATGATGTCACTCTTATTGACGATTGTGTAATTGGACTGCAGAGAAAACAAGATGCTTTAGACTCTTATTGTGACAAATGGGGCCTTGAAGTTAATTTAGATAAGACAAAAGTCATAGTTTTCAGTTAGAAAGGGTGGTTATCTGAAGACAACTGAGAAACGGTTCTATAAAGGTCCGCAAATTGAAGTTGTATCGTATTTCAAATACCTTGATCTACTATTCTCTTCAAGGCTTGTTTGGACTAAAGCATGTGATACACCAGCTATTCAAGCAAGGAAAGCGACTTTTCCTGTGTTAAATAGGATAAAGAAATTCCCATCTCTCACATTTTCTACTGCTGCTAAAATATTTGATTCAAAGATTGCTCCTGTTCTTTTCTATGGCTCAGAAATTTGGGGATGTGCCAAAAGAAAAAGCACTGAAAAGGTTCAGAGTAATTTCTTTAAAAGTGTTCTTTATTGTTTCAAACTGTGTTTTCATGTGTGTGGTTCAGGATTGCGGAGACATGAAATGCTTCATGGTTATATTCAAACAACGATGTAAAGATATAGAATTCCAAAACTGGCATTACAAAATCACAAATTCTTCTTTCCTTGATGTTTATTCATTTTATAAATCACTACTCCAACCAGAAAAAAGATCTGTCTACTTTAGCATGTGAAAGAGGTCTTCTTAGAGATTTATTTAAATTCCATTGTTTTAGCCATAATCTAAATGTACAGAAAACTCGATTTAATACAACCACAATGTCATCGCTGAATTTATGTATGAAATGTACCCGCAATAAAATAGAAAATGAATACCATTTTTTGTTAATTTGTCCTTTTTATAAAAAAACGGTAGAGAAAATTTAATTCCAAAATGTTACCATGTGCAACCATTTATCCCAAAATGTATCAGTCTTCCATCTACCAGAAATGATTGTGTTTATAAGAACCTGTCCGTATATTTAAAAAGACATTTACCTATGTAAATACAAATGTCTAAAATATGAAGGTTTGTTGTAAGAAAGTTTGGGCATTTGCATGGTACATATTATTCCTGAAAATGAACATTCATGAATACACTTCTTCTTCTTCTATGAGGTATAGGCTTGTGGTTACATGGTATCAGCAAGCCACGTCCAAATTCAAGTCATGATTTCATGGCCTGTCATGCATGTGAGATACCAAAATCGCAATATTGCTGAATATTGCTAAGCGTGGTGTGTAAATAGCATGTTAATGTCAACGCTGATGCAGTGAACATACCACAGACATGATGCTGGACTAACATTTTACAGAAAAATATTGTATGGGAATGTTCTAGTTGTCGGACGTTCTCCTTTCTCATGTTTGCAGTTTCTTGTTTCAACACTTCTGTTAAAGTTCTTTTGTCACTTTGGCCTTATTTCTTCTAATTTGTCAGTGAAAGAGTCCCTGATTGTATTAATTTCTGCTAGGATGTCTGAGCTTGTTACGATGTTATTAACACACACGTTACACACATTGTCACAATTAATATTACCTTCCCCGCAACCATACGGAGTAGTAGAATGTTCAACTTCATGGACGTCTGTTTTTTTTGTATTTTAGCAGCTGAAGGTTCGCAGAAGTAAACGGGTACCGACGCAAGTACACCCGGCTGTGACAACACAGCATCCACTTAGTCACTCGCGCCTTCCGAATCACCACACATAATTCACAGTTTATGTCGAAGTTATATCAAACTTGTCAGTGAATGTTTATCTGATGCAAGAAAGCACAATAAAGGTATATTCGGCTTTTGATGGGTACTTATATGGATGAGCTTCGTGATCACGTCTTCACAATTCAAGGGCGGGTAACTTAAAATGTGTGTGTGCGTGCGTGTGTGGTTGTAAATGTGAGAATGTCAGTTTCTTGTCAAACTGTAACTATAAAATGACTTTATTAGGTAAACAAGAAAGAGAAATATCACACGATTTCCGTCATCTTTGGATGCAACGCATAAACATTTCAGCGGCGTGCACAAGCCATAAAGAATGTCCCCCGCAGACTTGGATGAACATTCTGCGGTAACGCGGCGGAGTTGACCAGAGGCTTTCAGTAACCATTTCTATCCAGGCTATTTAGGTCCGTGGTGTGTGTGGGGGGTTGGGGGGTTGGGGGGTTGGGGGTTAGTTTAAGATCTACTCTAACCCGGATCTTCCCCTTCGGGATCGGTTCGGTTGGTAGCCTAGATATCCATAGAATAGACACAAGTCCGCCTCACATTCCCTGAACCAGATCAGTTTCCCTTTCGCTCAGTCCTTTCCATAATGCGGAGACCTAAATGAAGCAAGTCTAGATTTCATCTCTGAATCATCCATCTCACTGGGGCTCCTCTTCAACTTTAAAATGGAGTTATTTGCTTCTATCAATATTATATATTTTCAGAGACTAATCGTTGGTCTAAACAGACATCATCAGTTTGGAACATCACAAAAATATGTTTACAATAACAGAACATTGGCGACTACATTAGAATATTACACAGATTACTGCTTAATTGTCATATGCAAATATGAAATCTGACAATTAGAAGGCGGACGAACCTTACCATTATCAATAGACTCTCTGACATAGATTCCACAAATCCAAGCAATGTCAGAAGAATAAAATATGCATATAATATCTGGCAATATACACCAAGATCACCTTCCACAAAAATAAATTTTGAAAGCCAGCATTTTATTCAGGTTCAGTTTGATATTAGTTTGCAGATTAAAAATATTCATCCTTTGTCTATATTTAGCCGTCATTTTGCCTTGCGCTTTCCCAATGATTTTGACTAAAATTCTTACCGTTATCATCGTATCAGTTAATGAGAAATGCGTGACGATCAAGTACATGTCCCAAGGGCCGCAACTCCATCAGCTACAGTGATGTATTGTTATGTGACGCATCTCTACGCAGCAGCTTACGCCAACAAAGCACATTTGTCTCAGAATTCGGGTTCAAGGTTCTGAAGATCCATATTCATTTCCTTTCTGAGACATTTATTCTGTTAGATCAGAATCGGTGTACAGTAACCTTTTTCCTCGATTCCAGGTGTGGATGGAGGCGATGCTGCAAATGTTCTACTCTCTCGGCGTCACCTGGGGCGGCCTCCACACAATAGCCAGCTACAACAGATTCTCCAACAACTGCTACAGGTAGATGTTAACAGGATGTGCAAAATTCCATAAACATACTTCAACTGTTGCCTGTGAATGTGTATGGTTTTACGACGCTTTTAGCAATATTCCATAAAATATTACGGCACCAGAAATGGGCTGCACACGTTTTACCTATGTGGGGAACTGAACCTGGACCTTGGAAGTGATGAGCAAACACTTTAACCACTAGACTACCCCACGCCGCCTACTATTGCTTGTAGTATTGTAGAAATCTTGCTATCGCCTTGTAACCTTGTGAAAGGTACTACTTTCCAAGTGGGACCTGCTGATAGGTTTTACATTTGAATTGTAATACATGCATGTCCTCGATCGTTATTGCGTGGATCGATGATCATGATAGTTATCACTGGACTGTCTGGTCGAGACTCGATTATTTACAGACCGCCGTATATGGCTGGAATATTGCTGAGTGCGGCGTTAAACAACAAACAAACAAACAAACCTCCTTGGAGGATCTACACGTGAATTGTAAGACCTGTTTTGAGATTTTACATCTGAATTGTATGACCTAGGCTTTACAGCTGAATATATAAACTGCCTTTTAGTATGCATCTAAAGTTGATGTTTGACTGGTTAAAAGTCACACAATTCTTCACCATGAGGTGACTTGAATCTCCACCCCTTACATATATTGTAACCCACTGTTTCTTTCAGGGCAGCTGATGAAAGCGTGTTCAATATTACATGTTATGACTTAAGTTGTCTGCATTTTGCACGTTGTCTTTCTTTAGTGTTTCACTATAAGGTATCCAAATGTTTTGTTTTATTCTTTCTCGTGTTTGTTGCATTTAGATGGTTCATAAGATAGTTAAAACACTCCTCCGGGAAAAGCCCTTTTGCCTACCTGCTTTCCCCCGCTTGGGGTTTTACATTTAACTACATTGCAACTAAAACCGCAGAGGAGTTTTTTAACTATATCATCAACAGCTCATTTTGTGTGATATGGTCTGTCTTGGCAAAAGTAACATGTGACACTTTGAGAGTGCTATTCTGTAACATAAGAATTTCAAGTTTGTCACTCCTCAAATATTCTGTTTAACGGAAACATGTAATCACAAAATCCTGTTTGATAAAGCCAGTGTTTAGTTTTTCTTTCACGAAATGGATTCCTTTATAAACATGTCCCCACCTTACAATGGGCATCCTGGATTTTTGTCCAGCTAGGTAGTATTTAAGCTTCTCAAAGGCTCAAAGGAGGCTTAAATGTTTACGGCGATTTTCTGAAATACTGAAAAGTTTCTGACACAATTGACAATACATCTATCAAGATGAATGTGTGAAGCCCTTGCTCGTTATCTTGACATGTCCTTTGCAGAATCATTGAATCTCTAGACCAGATGGGCAGCAAGGTACACAGACAGCCATTTAACGTCGTGTACCACCATTGTCTTAAGGACAGTTTCATCAAATTTATGTCGACTTAAAGAAGTATAAATTCCAGGTTTTCCTGAGGTCATGAAAGGAAATGATGAAAGGAAATGGTAGTGTGAGAGTGGAGTATGCCACTCTGGTCACTCTGGTGTAGATCATAAGATTCATTTTCACTGCCAGATAAGCGCTCTTAACTGCTACAATTCTCACATCAGTATTGGATTGTCATTTTCAGGATGGCGAGTCTCATTGGCATTATTATTCGAACAGTATGTAATTGCATGTATAGATGCCTCATCCGTGCTCTTGGCTGCTAAAATGATAACAAACAAGTGGCTATATTTCTCAGACAGAACAGAACTGAGATCCAGAATATGTTTTTGACATTCTGAGTCCATGACAAAGTGTTACATGTATACTATTGAATGTTAACGAAACTGATAGTTGTGTGTTCAACATTCAGTTTTTGATAATGTTACATGATGAAGTAAATTGTCATCAGAGTTATACAACCAGGAACACATGGCTCGGACGGTTCATGTTCGTCTCCATGCAGGACTGTCGCGTCCAAGATTATTGCGACTGCTTGTGCTAGTCCGTACTGATGCTGATTTAATAGTGCCAGCACACTGAGATACCATGCCACAGTGTAACATGAATACCCCACTCAGACACAGTATACTGACTCCGAGTCGAACAGTCCATGTTTTAGCCCCTTAATACTTGGTACCAGACAGGGTAACAACAAGTACCATATTTAAATGTATTTTGGTATCACGCGGCCAGGGATCGAATCTCCGGATGGACGCTCTACCACGCGGTCACTGCAATGAAGGTTTATAGACACTGTTCACATCTATAATTTGAAGCAAATGTTGAATTTACACCTTGTATTGTGTAATGTGAAAGGAAACGTCATCAGATGTTTACTGAGATAACATTTTGTGAAATGCTGGACTTCCTCATTGATAACATCAATGCAACATTTTGTGGAAAGACATTTAGGCAAGCAGTAGACATCCCCATGGGCATCAATTTTGCTGTTTCTGTTTCTTTCTGCACATGATTCGGAATTTCAGCTCGGAATGGCAAAGTCAAATCAAGGTTTAATTAAAGCTAAAGGTATATTGATAATCTTATATCGTTCAATAACCATCAAATAGCCAGTTTCCTTCCACTTATTTACCCACCTGAACTAGAAATAAAGGAGATCAGTGAGACAGCCTGATCTGTTTCATATTTAGATCAATGCATAACGATTCAGAGTGACAATACACTCTCCACAAGATTGTATGACAAGAGGGAAGTCTTCAACTTTCCAGTAGTCCGGGCCACTTTCCCTTCACGTGGAGCGATATTCCCTGCAGCTCCAACCTTTTGTGTTTATATTTCACAACTTTTGAGGTACGTGCTCTTACTACCAAGAGTTCAAGGTTACAACATTCAAAGTCTCAGTTAAGCTTTCAAAAGTTTTATGGTAGACATGTGGAGGACTTTTGTTCCCGTGTTTTTTATAAGTGACTTGCCTTTCCATGTGCTTGTGGCGGATGCCATCGGTTGGGCAGGATACGCTCAACCCTTCGCGAACACCTGGTATCATCACTAATTGATAGCAATTAAAGAAACTCATGCTCGTGATATAGTCGGAATCGTACCATCGACACTGCTTTCGGCAGAGATTTCTCATGAATATGGTAAGGGTTTTTGTCGCTTTATTTATTGATTCAACTTGCAGGGATGCTGTCTTGATAACATTCCTCAGCGAAGGCACCAGTTTCTACGCAGGCTTTGCCATCTTCGCTGTTCTTGGATTCATGGCAGAGAACAAAGGCGTTCACATATCAGAGGTCATCAAAGCAGGTGAGGGGGCGGGATCATACACTATGGGAAATATGAGTTGAAACATTTAACCTCGGCACTATAGCTCATTTTGTTCCTTGGATTCTCTTCAACATGTAAACATCGTAACAAACATGACCACCTGTGATTGTCTGAATACATGTGGCTGAATTTCGTTTTTTTAGCAATACTCCAGCTATATCACAATGTTAATATACGAGTCTGAACAGGCAAACATGTAAATGAAAACTATATATGCGTAACTATCTACGTTTTGGGGAAACCCCCAACAATCAGTCACATTTTCGGAACATCATCTTTGATCAAATGTAGGAGCCTACTACGACCTACAATAGGGTGCAAGTTTCCATGCCTAATAGTGACTAAACTACAAAATACAAATACTAAAACCTAATTATTTACTCCTGCAGGACCTGGTCTTGGTTTTGTGGCTTACCCAGAAGCCCTTGCGCTACTTCCGGTACAACAGCTGTGGGCAGTCATCTTCTTCATCATGCTTGTCGCAGTGGGAGTTGACTCCCAGGTCAGACTTTATAACATCGTAGTTAACATCCGACCTAGCATCCACGGAACCTTATGATAAAAGTGAAACATAAAAACTCCACTTTCACTTACGTATCACCTGTTCAATACTCGGTCAAATTAAAACTGTAGCCAATGTATGAGGAAGTCAGTTAAAGGTCAATAACAAAAAAACAAACGTTTATTAGATTAATTTTCATTTTCTCTGTATGGTTTATATTATGGTTTGATAATGATTTTGTTGAGGGGAGAGCTCAAGAATGTCATTCGCGTGTAACAGGATTTGGTTTGGTCTGTCAGATGCACGAAACTTGCTATACATTCCTCTGATTATGCCATAAACACGTATATATACATTCCTATGCTTGTGCTTTTAACACGTATATATTTTTGCTCTAGTTTGGAACAACGGAAACAACAGTGACGGCAATTGTAGATACATTTCCAAATCAGCTTCAGCGACGGCGAGGTTTGGTGACTGCTGTTTTGTGTGGATTCAGCTTCATATGTGGTCTTGTGCTGGTTACACGGGTGAGGCGTGGAACCCGACATATTTTCAATGGAGACCGTAACAAACCGAATGCGCGCGCACTCGTTTTCTTGTTGTTTTCGTGGTTTACTGTATTTGGTTCTAGTTAAATTGTGGCATGTTTTAATCACCTCGATGCATTCTTTAGGAAGTTTGTGTCTTGTTTATAATCTGTGACGCTGTTTCTGTTTCAATCCGTACATATTCCTTAGTTTCCTTCTGCTGGTTTTCATTTGAAGGTCTGAATGTGTAGACGTCGATTATTGGTCCTATTCCAGTTTTACGTACACATCTGTCACCAACTATTTGACTGTCCTTTGTCGACAGTTCGTGATATAATATGAGTATATTATTTTCGTGCCATTTCTGAAAAATGTTGACGTGACAGAAGATGTTCACTCACTCATTCTTAATTTTCAAACATCATTTAATTGTTTGCTTGTTGTTAAACACTCAACAGTATCCCTGCTATTTGTCGATGGCCTCAGACAAGCAAGAGATTGGATATTATGCGCAACGTCCAACAACATTGGGATGCGATAACACGTAATCAATAGGTGAGGTGAGGTGAGGTGAGGTAAATGGGGTTTAACGTCGCGTCCAAGATTATTGCACTCATATAGCGACGTGCATGTACGTGTGTGTGTTTGTGTGCTAGCTCACTGAGATACCATGCCGCAGTTTAACATGAATACCCGTCTCAGGCACCGTATACTGACTCCGAGCCGACCAGTCCTTGTTTTAGCCCCTTAATGCCGAGCGCCAGACAGGGTAACAACAAGTACCATCTTTTAACTTCTTTTGGTATGAGGTGAGGTGAGGTGAAATTGGGTTTAACGTCGCGTCCAAGATTATTGCACTTATAAAGCGACGTGCATGCACGTGTGTGTGTGTGTGGGTGGCTGCTTGTACTATGCCGGACTGATGCCGATTTATAGTGCTAGCTCACTGAGATACCATGCCGCAGTTTAACTTGAATACCCCACTCTGACACAGTATACTGACTCCGAGCCGACCAGTCCTTGTTTTAGCCCCTTAATGCCGAGCGCCAGACAGGGTAACAACAAGTACCATATTTTAACGTCTTTTGGTATGACGCGGCCGGGGATCGAACCCCGGACCTTCCGCTCTCCGGGCGGACGCTCTACCTCTAGACCACGGAGGCGGTCAGATAATCGATGGAACTGAAGCTTAAGTTAAACTTCTTGGCCAAATTACCTTACCTCTAGACCACGGAGGCGGAGTAACCGAGCCTGACAATGTATACCCTATCAAAGTACGACCATCATAGGTTTCTGGGGACGTGATCCAACCTGAATTGTGAATCCTGTTACAGGGCGGTATCTATGTGTTCATGTTGATCGACTGGTATGTGGCGACCTTCAGCCTCCTGTTGGTGGGAATCATGGAGTGTGTCATCATCAGTTGGATATACGGTAACACACATAGGAATAGACGTATTTGAGTGAAAAAATAGTTCCATGCATCCTTCGTTGATCTGAAGTTTGTACGAGTAATCCTCCAAACACAACCTTTCATGCAACCTAAATATAAAATGCTGTTTGTGGCCGCACATATCATCAGTGCTGCCTTGATGTGAATGTTGCTCTGGCCTGTTGGACCAGGTGCGGACCGGTTCAGTGGCGACATCGAGATGATGCTTGGACGAAGACCCCCTGTCTTCATGAAGACGCTGTGGTGTTTTGTATCTCCACTTCTTATGGCCGTGAGTAAAGGAATGTTATATAAATGTAGCCTCACGTATATCATGAGGTTGGTTTCTGGGATATAAAAGGTAGCACTGAAATGAATCCCTTTCGGACCTTTCATATTTCTATAACTACCCGGATATAGCCCCAACGGATAAACACCAGTACAGACATGGCACCGCCTTTGCCTATCGGCGATGGAGAAATTACCATTAGGAATCTGGACAAAGTACTGGGATAATTGTCAACATTATCAAAATATTAGTTAAAGGTGCACAATTTGCCTTTGCTCGTCAGATACCAGATCAAGTCGCTTATTTCATAAAATTCGTATTATACGGGAGCTCTTTTTTGTATTCTACATGTATCACATAATCGTGTGGTTTGTGTTCATGGTTTTATTGTTGACTGTGATATATATTCCTGAGGTTTGTGCTCATTGTGTTACTGTTGTCTGTGATATATTCCTGAGGTTTGTGCTCATGGTTTTACTGTTGGCTGTGATCTATATTCGCAAAGTTTGTGCTCATGGTTTAACTGTTGGCTGTGATATAATCGTGCTCATGGTTTTATTGTTGACTGTGATATGTTTCAGCTTTGCTTCATCCTGACTGTAGTCCAGTACGAGGCTCCTACATACGGGGACTATGTCTACCCGACATACGGCGTTGCTATTGGGTTCTGCATCGGTCTGGTGTCCATAGTACCGGTGCCAATCTGTATGATACAAGAATTGGTAAAGGCGAATGGGTCATTTGTTGAGGTTAGAAATTGGTTTGTTTCCTCTGATGATTATTAAAACTTGTTCAAGACAGAATTCCAACGACCAGTTGAATATGGAGTATGTTAGTTGAGAAACGCTGGTAGCGGAGAGTAGTTGGATGGGTGACCGTGTTCACCAGCTTAATTCCTGAGAGCTTCCAGGGATTCGGGCTTGCCCCACCCTGAAGTATATGCAGCATATGTGATGTGTCTTGAGGCAAGGGGCTTTGTTCGACATTCCTTAGTTCATCCAGCACTGAATGGGCATCTGGTAGCATGATATTGCTATGTTCCTGTAAGCCTCACTTTCGTTCTATACTTCTCAATTAACTGAGAATGGAAATAGTGTACACACTGATGCATTGACCAGGGCAATAATTGTGTGTTTGAACATTTTTTTCTGGCATAAGAATGGATTCTTCTTCTTCTTCTTCTTCTTCTTCTTCTTCTTCTTATTATTATTATTACGTACAGATTAAAATATAAAGGTTTTGTGTGATCCTGGCACAGTCAGGCTGGTTGGGCTCATCATCAGCTAAGGGCCCTTGCCCTCTCTACACGCAGCCCAGACAGCAAATGGGACTTCACCCAGGAAGCGCTGCCTCGTCAACCCACCCAGACATTTTCAGGGAATGTGAAGACTGCCCAACACTGCAGCCTTCTGCATTACCCAAATTGTCAGAAGGGCTGTATTCTTGGCAACAAACCCGGGTACTCTCCCAATGTCAGTCAACAGATTGGGAGGTACTAAACCTAAGGCACCGAGAACAATGGGGAGTCGGACAAGTTGGTACTTGGGATGCGAGGTTGACATTTCGAAAGCCAGGTCCGCATATTTGTCAATTTTTCCTGTATCTTGTCAATCACATTAGTGTCAAAAGGGACAAAAAATTCAATGATATAAATGATTTTATTGGATTTGTCCAAAAGGACAAGATCAGGTTCGTTGGATAGGTCTGAGGCTGTAAATGGGCCTATTCCAAAGAATGTTGTATGTATCATTTTCCATGACGCCCTCTACATAATCTGGATCGTACCGTGGATGGACCTCTGTGTCAAAACCACAAGCATGGCGAAGGCGGCAATAAAATGATGGAGCCACTCCATCATGTCGCATATGATACTGTGTTTGTGCCAAAGCTGGGCATCCACTGACAATGTGTCGGACAGTCCTATTAAATTCATTGCATAATCTACATTTCATATTTACATTTGGTTGCAAAATCACACGGTGACGGTTATTATTATTATTTGTGAATCATGTATTTTTCTATCGCGGAAGAAATAGATATGCAATATTGTTTTATTGTGATGCAGATATATAGAAAATGAATCTCAATCCCAAACTCGCAATGCACAGTGAATATGCAGACACAACCTAAACAGGACTGAAGACTACAAGCAGGATATGGCGGATACATTTATTTCTGGAAACGACCAGATACTTCAAATGTCACAAAACCTGAACAAAACTGGACACAGTAAAACATATTCCTTTACAGTAATTGTTTTATATATTTTTATTAATTCTTAATTGTTAATTAATTTAACATTATTGAATATGATTACATATATTTGTTTTATATGTCAGAAAGTGCGAACCTGCTTGAGGCCAGACTCCACGTGGGGGCCAATCTCCAGCAGGCACCGTGCTTTGTACACCAAATCTGTGGAGGAGTCGGACTGGAGGAACGCCTTCAGGATATATACATGGTAGCGGGGGATACGTAGTGCTTTGAACACCAAGTCTGTGGAGTCGGACTGGAGGAACGCCTTCAGGATATATACATGGTAGCGGGGGATACGTAGTGCTTTGAACACCAAGTCTGTGGAGTCGGGCTGGAGGAACGCCTTCAGGATATATAAATGGTAGTGGGGGATACGTAGTGCTTTGTACACCAAATCTGTGGAGGAGTCGGACTGGAGGAACGCCTTCAGGATATATACATGGTAGCGGGGGATACGTAGTGCTTTGTACACCAAGTCTGTGGAGTCGGGCTGGAGGAACGCCTTCAGGATATATAAATGGTAGTGGGGGATACGTAGTGCTTTGTACACCAAATCTGTGGAGGAGTCGGGCTGGAGGAACGCCTTCAGGATATATACATGGTAGCGGGGGATACGTAGTGCTTTGTACACCAAGTCTGTGGAGTCGGACTGGAGGAACGCCTTCAGGATATATACATGGTAGCGGGGGATACGTAGTGCTTTGTACACCAAGTCTGTGGAGTCGGGCTGGAGGAATGCCTTCAGGATATATACATGGTAGCGGGGGATACGTACACCAAGTCAGCTGGAGGAACATCCGGTCTTTGTCTAATGTGGTGGAATATGGCCCAAAATGTTAAAGCAATATCAAGATTTCTTCTCCAATCAATACTGTGGGCTCTTACTATTTGTAGATCCATCCATCAGCAAAAGTTTGGAATTGTTCGATTTCATCAATGACATAGTACAGTCTAGTTCTTTCTATGTGCAGTCCAAATTGTTCATGTCGGAGAGGCATCAAAATATTCTAAATGAATTATACCATTTTGCCTTCCTCCTTTGATGTGAGTTTATGTTGACGTGTCGCGTGAAGATGGGCATAAAACTACGGTCAAAGTGTAAATGCAGCCTAACACTGAAAACGAGGATTTAATAAAATGTTGATAATATCAACAGTTATGATTTAACAACAGGGGTTCATTGTAGTTTACTTTCAATAAAATGATTTCACAGATTTCACGGACTTCAAGTGACTTGATTATTTTAACTGGATACTTTATGAAAGTCGTTATTCATGGCTCAGAGTGTGTTTGAGTTTTGAAAATGTATCTGAGGTTTTCTAAGAAGGTTCTTCTGTTGTGAAGAATGCCCTCTCTGTGTCTTGCTGTAAGCGAATCTTCCGCTGGACGCCACTGAGAGTTTGGTCGAAGGGAAAACGTCAGTCTCTGGAACAGTAGATTACAATTAACCCATTATTTAGTGATAATTCGACTGGTATACTAACCAATATGCCATTTCCTACCTTGGACCCTAATGATATGGGTAGGAGGTTTGTACTTGTCGAGTTATGTCGGTAATGTCGGTGATGTCGGTAATGACTACGTAAACACGGATTTCGTCGTTTGTGTCAATAAGAGGAAATCTTTGACTTGGAAATAAAGTATTAATGTCCGGTGGCTGCAGTGAACTCCAGTTAATATATTAATCGCATAACATGATTTCAATCCATGATATATGCTCCACAACATTTTCAAATACATTAACATGTGACTCTGTATTTCTACTTAGTTGCTCTTTGGGCCTGCAATATGTTCTCAAACTTTCATTTCAATTCTTGTAACATAAGGAGTTTCATACCTGTCTTAACGACCCCTGCTGTTTCCTCAAAGCCTTTATTATGAAAATGGCCACTGGAACAACAGGAATGAGGGCAATCATCCACCCAATCGCGGTAGCCTCTTCAGGGTAGGTGTACTTCCCGTAGGTGGGAGAATCGTACTGGGATATCGTCGTGATGAACACAACCTGTGTTCAGGAATGAAAGCAAAATGAAAATATGATTGACATTCCCTGTATCTTGCTCTGAATACTGTAACAAACTGTGAGAGTGAGTGAGTATGGTTTTACGCCACTTTTGGCAATATTCCACCAATATTACGGGGGGTGGGGGTGGGGTGGGGGGTGGGGGGGGGAGAGACATATGGGCTGCACACATTGTAACCATGTGGGGAATCGAACCCGAATCTTACCCAACCGCCCCAACAAACTGTGGGAACTTATAACACAAGGGACTAGCAATTCTGCTAAATATCAGTCAATTTGGTTCCCTGCTAAATAATAACAAGGAAATGATTTCAACAATGACAAGTTATTTGTTCGCCTGACAAAAGCATGGGAACATGGATAATTGCACCAGACATAAGAGTTTTCACTGATGCGCAAAATGTCATGTCCTCCACATGCATACCATCAATTTTGTTTGAAAGGTTTACTTACTAAGAAAATTTACTTACATCTTACTGATGTATATGACTCTAGTAGCCACCGATAGTCCCACTTACACTGTTCCATACAGAGCACTAATTACAACGTTAAGTTCTGGGCGGGCCCTGCCGTCAAGCTAAAGTTCCCCTTAAAAAGCATTTGTAAGCATGCATGTGTGTAGAATTTACGATGTTGCAGTCTCAGTAACATCTTCAATATTAAAGCTGGAGACACCACCACAAATGCCGACAGGTAGTGACACCACCACAAACGCCGACAGGTAGTGAAGCCACTGCCACAGCAGCTAATGCAATGATACAGTTTTCTCTAAATCCAAAGCAATCGGGATAAAATCTGAAGTTGTTAGGTTGTTCCTGGGAAATATTTCATAGGACCAGAGCACCAATCCGAAGGTTTCAGGAAAACGATAGTTGTTTTGTTTTGAATATGAAAGCAACACAATTATTTTCATAATCATAAGAAATCGATTATACGATTCCCACTATATCATGAGCATGTGTTTATGAATCACTATCAAACCATCATGATCATACCAGGTGTTCGCGAATAGTTGCAAAGTTCATTACATGTATGTCGCATAAATAACTTCTGCTTTAAACATTTCATTATCATCAGCTGCAAAGCGTTACAGTCGACTTACATCCAGATACGACAGCAATCTGAACCATTTGCACACGACACACGAATACATTTGAAGTTACGGAAGTTTGATACATGTTACAAATGGATTGTCACAAACAACAGCAAAAAGGGGGTTCAAAATGTTCTGACTCTAAAATATGACATGGAAATGTGATGACGTTCGTTTACTTCATGTTCATTCATGGCATCTGAAAACGGTAGAAGCATCACGCTAACACTTGCCTAGTTGAGTAATGATTCTCACTTACCACAAGTATTGCCGGAGTGATGATGCCCCACAGGACTTTGATCAGCACAGGCAGAGGACGTCCACACATCATGTCAACATCCTCACTCAGCTGCTTGATACCTTCAGTGAACAAAGTCATCATGAGGTTGCAGAGGGTATACAGTGAAACACCGTTAGTCCGGACGCTTTCGATCCCAAAGGATTGTACTGATTACACACTCTCAGAGTGGCATCTATATTCCTATAAGACATAGACGTTCCGAACAATATAATCGTTCAGAATGTGAGGTATACGATGGATTTGCACTCTACATGTGTATACATTGTAGCATTGTGTCATTATATCTCGGAAGAAATAAACGTTGCTCATACTATCGACCACTGGTTTGTATGGCCCAGACTCGATGACATGATTAGGCCACTTTGATAGTGCTTGAACATTGCTGAGTGATCTAAACAAAACTTTCTCAACGAGGACAACCAGCGCCCTTGATTATCACATTGATAACACACGTACATTACTTCTTTTACAATCTCGATTTACAATTCACGTAATTACACACAGGTAATTGTACACAGTTACCGTAGAACCAGACAACAGCCACACACTCAAGGGTACAGAAGAGGAACACCGAGAGAGCCACCAGGTACCAGTCCAGGAGTTGCATGATGTACGGACCACCCTGAAAGTATGGGCAGGAATAGCTTGTAAAGATGTGTGTATCATTCTGGTCAAGTTACTTTCAGACATAGGAAAGAAAACTGTGATTGCAAACATGAATTTACTGAGGAAGATAATTTATGGATGTCAACTTCTTTATTATAAGGATCACAACGTTTCAGGGGCCATGCTTACTCCTTCATCGGGTGAATGAATGCTATGAGCCAGAGAGCATATATATATACATGTAAGAACACCATAGGTAATAAGATAACAAAAGGTGGAAACTTAAGCCTAAAGATAATTGGCGCCGCTAGGTGATTAGCAACAGACAATGGAACCCAACACTTTACAGTTAACAGCACTGATAGTTATGGACAACTTGAAGCCAGGACGACATTTTCACTGATTGGTAATTGGCAAAAATGGAACAATGGGCAAACGGAAGGCCGGGGGTAGTTAGCACTGATAGGTAAAAGAATAGAAATAGCAAAGGGCAAATAGAAGACAGATAGATAATTGGCACTGACAAAGATCAAAGCAATAAGTCCCAAGCACTAGGTAAGTAGGTTCCCTGGTCACGGTTCATGGCTGGCTGGGGTCTCCTGATGTCAATGGCTTCTTGTAGTTTTCTTTGTCGCCAGTTGTTGTTGTTAGACAGGACTTTGGTGGCTTCCCACATGATGTAATGGTCTTGGTTCTTGAGGATATGATGTGAAATAGCGGATGTCAGGTCTAGTTTGTTGTCAGAGGTCTGATGTTCTTTAAGTCTTGTGTTGAAGGGTCGGATGGTTTGTCCGATGTACTGTTGGCCACAGTTGCAGGGGATCTGGTATATACATCCTCGTGGATTGGGACTGCTTGTGCCTCTGCCATTGGCTTGAAGATGGGTCTTGATGGACTTGCCAGTAGAAAATGTGGCATCTATGTTGGCTTTGTTCTTGATGAGTCGGGAAATCTGATGAGTGACAGGACCTTGGTAGGGTATGGTGATTCTGATGGGCGACAGGGTAGGTTTGGGTCTGGGGACTTGCGGATGGTTTCGGAGACTATTGACATATACAGAAGTTGACATCCATAAATTATCTTTCTTATGTGTATCACTTCTAAATGACTTCATGAATTTACTGGGCCATAGATGCGCTGCTCTTCAAAACACTAGACATGACCAAGACAAAGCCATAACTTTCAGTAACCAATTTTCATTTGAAACAAAGGTGGTAAGGTTGAAATATATGTTAAGTGCTGTGGAAATGTCCTCCACATGTCTAGCATACAATTACTTGAAAGGTTTACTGAGGCCTTGAATGATGTAACCTTGATGAAATAACTTTTGAGCAAGGGTCGCAAGAAGCTCTTTGAAACATTCGTAGAATGACCATGTCCGATTGTACCTCCAAGGTTGTGAAATATAGACACCGAAGGCTGGAGCTTCTGGAATAAAGCTCGTCATAAAGGGAAAGCTGACTAATGGATAGTTGAAATCATCCCTCTTGTCATACAGTCTTGTGGAGAGTGTTTTGTCACTCTGAAGAGAAAAGGTGGTCTCACTGGTCTCCTTTATTTAATGTTCAGGTGGGTAAATCAGTGGAAGGGAATTGGCTACTTGATGGTAAGTGAACGATATCAGATAAGCAATAGAACTGAAGCTTAAGTTAAACTTCTTGGCCAAATTACCTTGCTTTGACTTTGCCAATCCGAGCAGAAATTATGCTTTATATGCATAAAGAAACATATCAGCAAGAAGGGGAGCACAAATGGTGGCCATGGGAATGCTTACTTCTTGCCTTAATGTCTTACGCCAACATTTTACATAGATTTATGAATGAGGATGTCCTACATTTCACATATGGTTTTCTCAGTAAACTTCAGATGACGTTTGCTTTCAATTTTGACAAATTGTCCTGAACCTCTGAAGATAGATATGTAACCTAGTCACCTAGTTTGGGAGCAAAGTGCCCCCTGAATCAAGGAATGAAGTGTTCCCTAACGTTTGTCATGTGGGATAGTGGTGTACAAAGTTGACAAATCAAATGTTTTGACAGAATTGAACTGCAAGTCTTGGTTCTTTTCTGACGCAACGCAAATCTTTGGCGTTTTTTTGGAATCCACATATTATTACTTCCACTTGTCTCAAATGCTTGCAGTGAAAATAACAAAAGTCCCACGTGATACTTTTAAGGATTATTGGTAATCTTTGAGACATGGATTTTATGGTACATTTGCTGGAGCCAGCAATATCTATCACTGCGTGCGGATTTTTGTTATGTAGCTTTGGTATCCAGCACAAAAGTGGAATGGCTATGTCTTCAGGTTTTAATGTCAAGTCAAAAGTTGATAGTACTGATGCATTCATTATGTGATATGTCACTTTTACCAAGTTCATTTATCAAGCAATTAATGAAGTGATGCTAACATAGCGGCTATGTTATTTGAGGCCTTGTTTGTGGGAACAACGACAAGTTTGTCATGTACGGTAGCCAACTTGGGATAACTGCTGGCTGGGACAGAAAAGGTTCACTTCAATTCTGTTTCCTCCTTTTTAGTGTTGTGCGTGCTGCTGATGACATAATCACTCACGTACTCAACCCACTCTGAAAGACCTTAAACATGTTCATGTAATTTTACCCATGACTTCAGCACTCATAGTGATATTAAAATTGTGATCATATTAAAAAGCATGCAGTCTTTATCTGACTTAGTGGAGTCGTTTTCCTCTTTTGATGAAGCGTCTCCAAGCAACATCAAGAACTATACTTCAACTGGTTATAGACCAATTAGCAAACGTTCCCTCTTTCGGGATGATACCTGATAAGATATTAATACAAAGGTAATAACTCCTCACCAATCATTCATCTATAAGGGTATTTGTTACAATTCGTGTTACATTACAACATCTTAGGTGCAATCGAGCATGCTCTTTCTACCAACTTGTTAATGGGCGTCGTGTGACTCACTATCTGATTGGGGTTACCACATTCAGGACCTGTGTGTAGATTTTGAAAGGTTGTGGCAGACGTTTGGAGGGTATTTCCAAATTTGACACATTAGTGACAACAACTATGTCCGATGAAATTACATATTTTGAGGGGGCACGGGTGGCCCAGTCGTCTAAGGCGCCGCGATTCGCTGTGCAGAGTTGCGTCCCTTAGGCACGCCAGAAACCTATGATTGTGGGTTCGAATCCCGGTTCGCCCCGATTATGTTTCTAGGTTTGTCAGCACCATACCCATGCTCGTGGGTTTCACCGAAGTGGTAAACGTCTGAGACATGCATCACTTCGGGCTTTCCTCCCACATTAAGCTGACACGCCGTGATATGACTGGCATACTGTTAAAAGCGGCGTTAAACCAAACTCACTCACTCACTCACATATTTTGACTTGTACCACATGTTCCCATGTTTCTTCGGTCGAACACTTGACGTTGTTTTGCATGTGTTTGTGACGGGTGCCACTATTCGCAAACACATGATATCATCACTATTTGATAGTGATTCATAAACACACGCTTATGACATAGTCGGAATCGTATAGTGAACTCTGCTTTTAGCAGAGACTTCTAATGATTATAGAAAAGGGTTTTTGATGTTGTTTATCTTTAATACTGCTTCACAAGCCACATCTGCAGCGTATCACAGCAAAACTCACCACCTTTCAATTCATCACCAGTTCTCTATGTTAAAGTTACCTACAGTTTGTATATCTTACCTGTGTACATATGATGATGCCAGGACAAAAGGCAAGGACGCATATTGCTGCTGTGACCAGACCTCGTCTATGTCTGAGTATCAGGGGAAACTGATCTATCACCGTCGTGGACAGCATTTCAACAAACATGAACTGCAATTCAATAAACTGGATTACCATTTAAAATAAAACTAAGCCTTCAGTCCTCTACGTATTCACGCTTCGTAAATGCAGTTACAGACTAAACCCTAACTAGTCCCATATTTACGTTACTTTTCGAGAACAGGAGAATCAGTTCAGGAGAAGTTTTCTCGTATTTGGGCTTTTGTTTGGATAAAGGCTTCGATGTCATGGTAGTGTGTATATGTGTATAATATATTTCATCACCTGGGAGTCTAATCCTACAGCAAGTAACATCAGGAAAAATAGAAACGACCACATCTGTGGAAGCGGGAGCTGTGAGAGAGCTTCTGGGTAGGCAACGAATCCTAATCCTGGTCCTTTGCAAATGAAATGTTCATACTCGTCAGTCACTGGTACATTTTTATCCACATGAAATTGTTTAGTATGCTTAATTATTTAAACTTAGAGCCTATAAGAAAGTATGTCCATTTCGAGTTAGAAAATGCAGATTGAGACCTGTAACGCGTTTTAAGAATCTCACCTGATGACACAACTTCAGATATTGAGACGCCGACTCTTTCAGCCATAACACCCAGGATGGCAAACGTGACAAATCCAGCGAATATGCTTGTGCCTTCAGATACAGTGCATAGGATAATAGTATCTCTGAAAAATAAGAGCAAATGTTTAGTTTTGGAGGAATACGGTAACAGCTGAAGTGATATGAGTCAATGTATTATCAAAGAGTGAGTGAGTGAGTTGGGTTTAACGCCGCTTTTAACAGTATTCCAGTTATATCACGGCGTGTCAGCTTAATGTGGGAGGAAAGCCCGAAGTGATGCATGTCTTAGACGTTTACTACTTCGGTGAAACCCACGAGCATGGGTATGGTGCTGACAAACCTAGAAACATAATCGGGGCGAACCGGGATTCGAACCCACAATCACAGGTTTCTGGCGTGCCCCAGGGACGCAACTCTGCACAGTGAATCGCGGCGCCTTAGACGACTGGGTCACCCGTGCCCCCTTATTATCAAAGAACAGTGTGTTTTATATAATTAAGTGTGAAACACTGAGATGTTAATAAAGTGAAAATATCTCTTTATCGGAACTACACCGGAACGTCTGTCGCATGCGATAGAAGCCGGGCTTCGGAACGCAAGTCTTCCATTTCTGTATTGACACTGAAAATCTTTTACACCCAGTAAAAGATTTACTGGATAACAGTTCTTTTTATACGTTATCTGTCTGAAACTCTTCCTAGTAGATGCATTACTAAGCGATCATTAATTTAGAAGGTGAGAAATATAACCTTAGCTGTACGTAAATAAAAAAAATGAGATGGATAAAATGATATGTATCAACAAAACCAGCAAGCTTCACCATCCCATCCCGTTAGCCACCTCTATCATCAAACATCGATGCTTAAGTCTGAGGTGAAGTCTGTGGCACTTTTGTCCCTTTATTCGTCGGACAATTTATTGACACTTAAACATGTACATGAGTTAGAGTAAACCCCGAGATTCGTTACCTTAAAGTAGGTGCGTGGAACTTGTTGTAGCTGGATGCTGTCATGATTACACCCCAGCCTGGACCAAGACTGTAAAACACCTGGATACAAGCTTCCGACCACACCTGTGTAATCACAGCACTCGCTTTAGAATATTTGGAGGTAATGCTGCATTCAGGATATGCGCCTGTGTTTGAGACATTAGCTTCAGGTTCCAAAACACGGTTCAGAGGTCTCATTAGGATTTTTGAATCCCATTTCTAATATGCTTCGCGAAAAGATACAATAACAATATCCAGCGACCTCGATATGAACCTCGGCTATATTTGACTTTTTTATCTCGGCCCCATAATGCAATTGTGGAATGTTTCGAATCACGTGATTAATTTGAGCAAATTGATATAAGAACTTTATTTACTTATTGCTGCATGGGGTTATGGATAAGAACACACTGGGCGGATAATCACATATGACCTATTTAAATAAGACACCGCCCATTTTAGTATGTTTTTTGTCCAAAACGAATAAGATGGACGATTCCGTCAGTTAGCCTTGGTCGATGATTTTCAATTTACGTCACAAGTCATTACACATTGATTTTAAACATGTGGCGAGTCTTAAATTCAGCACCTGATTACATAAACAATTTTCATACCTGTCCATCGAGGAGTTTGCTAAAATCAGGTTTAAGATAGTACAGAATCCCGTCAAAAGCGCCAGGCAGCGTGGCGGTTCTAATGAAGATCGACGTCAGGAGTATGTAGGGAAGCAATGCCGTCACATACACGATCTGTAAAACGGCAGATTAAAAAGTATTACACATTTTGACATCGTGATAGCAGCAAGACACTTTTGAAGAAGATGACACTGCTATGTGAAGATCGTGCAGGTAAAGATGTTTTGTTTAAAAAACATGTTTATGCAGTTTAAGGTGTGTTTGAAAACACATGTTGCCATGTGGAGTTAATGCAGTTTAAGATGTGTTTGAAAGAAAAGAACATGTTGCCATGTGGAGTTCATGCAGTTTAAGATATGTTTGAAATAACATGTTGCCATGTGGAGTTAATGCAGTTTAAGGTGTGTTTGAAAGAAAAGAACATGTTGCCATGTGGAGTTCATGCAGTTTAAGATATGTTTGAAAGAACATGTTTCAATGGGAGTTCATGCAGTTTAAGGTGTGTTTGAAAGAAAAGAACATGTTGCCATGTGGAGTTCATGCAAGTTAAGATGTGTTTGGAAGAACGTGTCGCCATGTGGAGTTCATGCAGAGTAAGATGTGTTTGAAAGAACATGTTGCCTTGTGGAGTTCATGCAGAATAAGATGTGTTTGAAAGAACATGTTGCCATGTGGAGTTCATGCAAGTTAAGATATGTTTTAAAGAACATGTCGCCATGTGGAGGTCATGTAGTTTAAGATGTGTTTGAAAGAACATGTTGCCATATGGAGTTCATGCAGTTTAAGATATGTTTGAAAGAACATGTTGCCATGTGGAGGTCATGTAGTTTATGATATGTTTGAAATAACATGTTGTCTTGTGGAGTTCATGCAGAGTAAGATTTGTTTGAAATAACATGTTTCCATGGGGAGTTTATGCAGAGTAAGATGTGTTTGAAATAACATGTTGTCTTGTGGAGTTCATGCAGAGTAAGATGTGTTTGAAATAACATGTTTCCATGGGGAGTTCATGCAGAGTAAGATGTGTTTGAAAGAACATGTTGCCTTGTGGAGTTCATGCAGTTAAAGATGTGTTTGAAATAACATGTTGCCATGTGGAGTTCATGCAGAGTAAGATGTGTTTGAAAGAACATGTTGCCATGTGGAGTTCATGCAGAGTAAGATGTGTTTGAAAGAACATATCGCCATGTGGAGTTCATGCAGAGTAAGATGTGTTTGAAAGAGCATGTTGCCTTATGGAGTTCATGCAAGTTAAGATGTGTTTGAAAGAACATGTCGCCATGTGGAGTTCATGCAGAGTAAGATGTGTTTGAAAGAACATGTTGCCTTATGGAGTTCATGCAGTTTAAGATATGTTTGAAAGAACATGTTGCCATGTGTAGGTCATGTAGTTTATGATATGTTTGAAATAACATGTTGTCTTGTGGAGTTCATGCAGAGTAAGATGTGTTTGAAATAACATGTTTCCATGGGGAGTTCATGCAGAGTAAGATGTGTTTGAAATAACATGTTGCCATGTGGAGTTCATGCAGAGTAAGATGTGTTTGAAGGAACATGTTGCCTTGTGGAGTTCATGCAAGTTAAGATGTGTTTGAAAGAACATGTTGCCATGTGGAGGTCATGTAGTTTAAGATATGTTTGAAAGAACATGTTGCCATGTGGAGGTCATGTAGTTTAAGATATGTTTGAAAGAACATGTTGCCATGTGGAGTTCATGTAGAGTAAGATGTGTTTGAAAGAACATGTTGCCATGTGGAGGTCAGGTAGTTTAAGATATGTTTGAAAGAACATGTTGCCATGTGGAGTTCATGCAGAGTAAGATATGTTTGAAATAACATGTTGCCATGTTGAGTTTATGCAGTTAAAGAAATGTTTGAAAGAACATGTTGCCTTATGAAGTTCATGCAAGTTAAGATGTGTTTGAAAGAACATGTCGCCATGTGGAGTTCATGCAAGTTAAGATGTGTTTGAAAGAACATGTCGCCATGTGGAGTTTATGCAGAGTAAGATGTGTTTGAAAGAGCATGTTGCCTTATGGAGTTCATGCAAGTTAAGATGTGTTTGAAAGAACATGTCGCCATGTGGAGTTCATGCAGAGTAAGATGTGTTTGAAAGAACATGTTGCCTTATGGAGTTTATGCAAGTTAAGATATGTTTTAAAGAACATGTTGCCATGTGGAGGTCATGTAGTTTAAGATATGCTTGAAATAACATGTTGCCATGTGGAGTTCATGCAGAGTAAGATGTGTTTGAAATAACGTGTTGCCATGTGGAGTTCATGCAGAGTAAGATGTGTTTGAAAGAACATGTTGCCATGTGGAGTTCATGCAGAGTAAGATGTGTTTGAAAGAACATGTTTTCATGGGGAGTTCATGCAGAGTAAGATGTGTTTGAAAGAACATGTTGCCATGTGGAGTTCATGCAGAGTAAGATGTGTTTGAAAGAACATGTTGCCTTATGGAATTCATGCATTTTAAGAAATGTTTGAAAGAACATGTCGCCATGTGGAGTTCATGCAGTTTAAGATGTGTTTGAAAGAACATGTTGCCATGTGGAGTTCATGCAGTATAAGATGTGTTATAAGGACATTTTCATGTGAAGATGGTGCCTTTTAAGATGTCTTGTTTGAGAGAACATGTCACTATTTTGAAATTACGCAGTTTAAGATTTTTTGAGAGAGCATGTTGCTACTTTGAGATCATGCAGTTTAAGACTCCTTGTTTGAGGGAACATTTTGTGATGTGATGTTTTTGTCAGATTAGGTTTGTTGTTTAATGCCACATTCTGCAGTATTCCAGCTATATGGCGGCATTTGAAAATTATCCAGTCAAGACCAGATAATTCAGAGATCAGTACCATGAACATCGCTCAATGTAATTCAGCAAGTCGCCGAGCTGGACCTCCGGATTCACGTAGTCGCCCCTAACGACAAGCATATGTTGCTGAGGACCTGTACTTTAGTCTTGCCCGGAATCTTATCATGTGAAGATCATGCACTTTTAAAACCGCGTTTCAGAAAATATAATTCCCAACAACAACGTTGTGGTAGTAATTCAGTCCTACCTTCCCACTAGCTTTGATTCCACGAAACAGACACAGAAAGATACAGACATACGACGCAAATAAACATCCCACTATATGCCACTGAACAGAGCCGATTTCGTGTATTCCACTTGATATATTCAGAACGTTGTACCTGAAAGAGAGTATTTCAGTTTCAGAATACAAAATAGTCCGTGGTATGTGCTATTCTCTGGCATTACTTGTATGTTATGTACCTTATGTCCATATCTTGTCCTGTGTGAACATTGCACATATGTAGCTCTCGTTTGGGGGGAAAGTTGGGTAATTTCATAGAAAAGCATTTTTTCCTTCGTCTAGAAATCATTGGGAAGATAAATCCTTAAAAATGCTTAAAAATTACCACAGCAAAGCCTGAAAGAAACGAGTAATTTCTATATGCTATTGAATAAGATTTTAATCACTGGTAATGTCGATAGTTCCAGGTAAGTTATTTGAATTAATCCATTTTGTCGTTGCTTGAATATGAAGGATGAGCAATAACAATACTAAAATTGGCTAATATATCAGCATATATTAAAAAAACCCACCAATGTCTCACGTTTTGCAAAAATTATTATGAACACTGGGAGCCATCATTTGCATTGTCTCTGACGTTATTAGTTATTAGTCGTGAAATATGAATCTTCGAATGCTTATATATGTACAACATGTTGCATATAGAGGTGCAAGTACCTTTCCCGATTCAAGTAAATAAAATATCCCTCTTTTCACTCCCTTTTATATTACATTTGTTAGTTGACACAAATGCACAGAGCCTCAACGAATTACTGCGAATTCATTCAGTTGAGCGTTTGGTTCAGCATCAGGACATCCTGAAAGGATTGATATTGGTTCTGTGTGTTAAGAACATATACGCTTTTCACATTTCCATGGATTGATTGTAGGACAGATGACCGAACATGCAGACTGACAACACGCGTTAATGGACTGATATTTGGGTGATCAAGCACACATTCTACACAACATAACTCACTGGTAGAACTCCTCCACTGCTGTGTGAGATAACGTCTTGTTCCTCCACAGTTCAGCAATGCTGGGACCAGTACCATTGGTGCCTTCTACGTCCGTGATGTTCATGACGTTTGAAGAGTTCATTGAATGCGTTTTCAGAGTTGAGATGTCCTCAACACATAGCTCTGTGTTCCACCAGTTACCACAGGTTGTCCAGGGCAGAACACTGGAGCAGGAGTTCACCATGCATGTAGTAGATAGGCCAGGCCAGAAGGATTTGATAATAGGGTTGACAGATTGCAACCTGGATGATCGTTCCGACACCGATACCTACAAAAGCGAATAACCTAGATCTGCCTTCCAATTCGTTGCTACACGTGCACTGAACACTGCACATTTTAGAGACTACATTGGTGACTGGGGGTTACTGCTGAGAGCTTTGGTAGTTCTGATAGTTAGAAAGAACTCAACATTGTCATTATATCCTGTTAATATATTATTAAAGCAGCAGACTTACCTTTGAGGAGAGGGCAGAAATTCCACGTCTGTACAGCTCCTTTACCTGAGAACTGAGCCAGAGACGCCTCCAGGTAAAACAGAGGTAAGGCGGCGATAACGATGAATATCATGAAAGGAATCAAGAAAGCACCTGCGCAGATAAAAAATAAGTTATGATTGTGAAAAATGGTATAGTTCGAGTATCAATAATGTTAACACGACTATCAGCTGATGTACCATACGTAAGGACGTAAGTACTGTTCATTTCAAGCCTTTTGAGATCTCTTAAGTTGTTGTTGGCCTGTCACATCTAATCGATATCTAAAATAGATTGTTCTTGGTTCGTAACTGCTGATCGAGATCTAACCTAGATTTTTCTTGGTTGTCCACTGGTAATCGAGATCTTAAATAGACTGTTCTTGGTTGGCCACTGGTAATCGAGATCTAAAATAGATTGTTCTTGGTTGTTCACTGGTAATCGAGATCTGAAATAGACTGTTCTTGGTTGGTCACTGGTAATCGAGATCTAAAATATAGTTTGTTCTTGGTTGGTCACGGATAATCGAGATCTAAAATAGATTGTTCTTTGTTGGTCACTGGTAATCGAGATCTAAAATAGATTGTGCTTGCTTGTCCACTGGTAATCGAGATCTAAAATAGATTGTGCTTCGTTGGTCACTGGTAATCGAGATCTAAAATAGATTGTTCTTGGTTGGTCACTGGTAATCGAGAACTAAAATATAGTTTGTTCTTGGTTGGTCACGGATAATCGAGATCTAAAATAGATTGTTCTTGGTTGGTCACTGGTAATCGAGATCTAAAATAGGTTGTTCTTGGTTGGTCACGGATAATTGAGATCTAAAATAGATTGTGCTTGGTTGTCCACTGGTAATCGAGATCTAAAATGGATTGTTCTTGCTTGTCCACTGGTAATCGAGATCTAAAATAGATTGTTTCTGGTTGGTCACTGGTAATCGAGATCTAAAATAGATTGTGCTTCGTTTGTCACTGGTAATCGAGATCTAAAATAGATTGTTCTTGGTTGGTCACGGATAATCGAGATCTAAAATAGATTGTTCCTGGTTGTCCCCTGGTAATCGAGATCTAAAATAGATTGTTCCTGGTTGTCCACTGATAATCGAGATCTAAAATAGATTGTTCCTGGTTGTCCACTGGTAATCGAGATCTAAAATAGATTGTTCCTGGTTGTCCACTGATAATCGAGATCTGAAATGTTGCTGTTGGGGGGGCCACCATCTGGGACCTCTCCACATTAAATCACTGATATAACTGAAACACGGAGCGAATGGCCCAGCCAGCCTAACTTATCAGCAATAATTGTATATGGTCTCGTGTATTAACGTATCAATGTGTTATTTATTAGTAGACAGTCAGCATGATGTTTGTGTAGAAACTAAAGATATGTCTTTTCTTTCACTGTGATGATCTCTGTATGACCTGAATCAGGTTATCCTTCTTGACCCGTCTTCTTGATTTATTGATTTATTTATTTATTTATTTATTTATTTATTTATTTATTTATTTATTTATTTATTTATTTATTTATTTATTTATTTATTTATTTATTTATTTATTTATTTATTTATTGTTTGTCATGACGTCACTCTGATGTTTAGAATATCCAATATTGTTGACGAATGGACGGTGGGTTGTGAAATAGTCATGCTTACAACATCGTGAACCCACATTTTGATTAATTTACACATAGAATAGACGGAAACGTTTTTTTAATTGTGACACTCAATTGACTATTTTCAAATAATGTCGGAAATATAAAACGTCAATGCCAGAGAATAATCAGTCAGGCTTATACGCCTAAACAGATTCCATTAGGCGCAAAAGGCAAAATAAAGGTAACGTTATAAGAATGGATCACTGAATATCAATGATGACACCAGTTATCATATCCAACATGCTAGAAACATTTGCATGAAAAATACGTTATCACGTGCAAGTTAGGGAATTTTTCAGAGGTTTCTTGGGGACACATGTCCTTCTCACAAATCATTCACTGAGAAAAGCGAATTTTAAAATCATCATGCCAAGACGCAAAAATAATGCTTTTACATTTGAAGCTGGTGAAGGACAAGCATCAGTGGCAAGGCATTTCAACATTGTCTAAAGAACAATTGCCTGACTTAAGGCACAATATTGGCAACATAATACAACTAGAGATCGTCCAAGATAAGAGAGATCACGTATAACCACAGCAGCGAAGGATCGCTGCATCCGGATCTTTCACCTTTGAAATAATACATCCATTACAACACACAATGCAACACCAAGGCCTGGTCTCGGTCCCAAATACAGTCAAGTCCCGATATTCCGACATAGTTGGTTGCATATGATTATGTCAGATAAACGAGTATGTTGGACCCAGTTTGTTTTGGACCCAATGAAACAACAAACTGCCTTTTATCATGCATTGTAGTTACAAATCAATAATGCCACCGGAGCTTGGGGCATGTTCATCAATATACTTATTGTACTGCACACAAAGACAACTCATCACAGCGTAGGTAGAGACTACAAAGAGTTCTGGTCTATGATTTAAATACTTTCATCAAACGATTTTACTTTTGAAACAAGCATTTACCTCGAAAAGGATTAGTAAGGGATTCCAAACTGCAGATTCTTCGGGCATTCTTTTTAATGAATGTACATGTGGCTTCTCTCCTTTTCAGGGGCCACGGGTGGTTCAGTCGTCTAAGGCGCCGCAATTTGCTGTGCAGAGTTGTGTCCCTTGGGCACGCCACAAACCTATGGTTGTGGGTTCTAATCCCGGTTCACTCCCATTATGTTTATATGTTTGTGTTCGTGCTTGTGGGTTTCACCGAAGTGACCTGCACGTCTGAGACCTGCATCACTTCGGGCTTTCCTCCCACATTAAGCTGACACGCCGTGATATAACTGGAATACTGTTAAAAGCGGCGTTAAACCCAACTCACTCACTCACACTCTCCTTTTCAAGTTTAATAACATAGCTTAATTGGACTATCTTTTCTAGGGAAGTATGGTTAATTTGTTCTAGTATCAAAACATTGATGTTGCAAAACTGCTTGTGAATATATTGTAGAGTGTCTGTTTCTAGGTGACCATACAGCTACATGGTTTTAATTATAAACGTAAATAGTTTGATTAAAAACATAAATCTGCAGTCATGGTTAAATTGTATTGTCAGATTGCTGAGTGCAAGCGAAATCACACAGCGACAAGAGGGGTATTTGTTATCATTATGTCTTTCAGTCGAGATTTGACTTACCTGCCTGTTGGGATTTGAATTTGTTTTTGTTTTAAGTGAGTGCATGACTTGGGTTGAACGTCGCTATGAACATTGTTTCAATCTGTCATGGCATGTCAACTTAAGTCGGAGAAACTTGTTTGGCAGGCACCCCTTAGGAGTTGACGAAGGGAGACAATTTAAAGATAACTCTTTTACTTCTAAAGTGTGTCTTCACTTTGTTGGAAGATATTTTGTGTTAATATACTGACTATTAATGTCATTTTATAAAGTGAAAGTTGTTTGTTACAAGACTATTGATGTTAAACACTGTTCCAGCAGCTCCAGCCTTTGATGTGTACATTGGACAACTTTTGAGATACAATCAAGCATGCTCTTTCTTAGAAGATTTCAAGGAGTGCCATACGACTTTTGATGAAAGGTTGTTTGATCAAGGCTACAACAATAAAAGTCTCGGCAAAGCTTTCAAGATGTTTTATGGTAGATATTTGCAAATCTGTGACCAAAATTATGTGCAATTTCCTAGACTTGTATCACATGTTCCCGTGTCATTTCGGGTAAACACTTGCCTTGCCTTTGCATGTGTTTGTGACGAGCGCCACAGGTGGTGTAGGATATGCTCACCTTTTCGCCTGACACTGGTAACATCACTATTTGATAGTGATTCATGAACACATAATTATGTTATAGCAGTGATCGTATAATCAAATATGCTTTTGACAGACATTTCTTACGCATATGGAAAGGGTTGGAGCGCTTATTTCTATCAAGTGAGAAAAAAGGCCAGGGACTTGACATGTACATATGTAAGCGTTTATGACTCTGTCAGTTAATGTATACTTTATTCCATCCTTTTATGCAATCGACAAAATGGGTTAATATCACTAGTCGGTTTGTCTCGAACATTCAGTCTTACCTCCCCCATTTCTGTTGCAGAGGTAAGGGAATCTCCACAGATTACCAAACCCCACACAGTAGCCTGTCATAGACATGATGTAGTCCAACTGAGATGACCAGTGGTCTCGTTTTGGTCTGGCGTCGTCACCGGAAGTGTCATCCTTCTTCATCTCCACCAACCCTGCCGTCATGTGTGATGGTGAAGCATCGTCGGGGCCATTCTCAGCGAACTCAGTGTTTGCCATCATCTGTTAAAAGTTAACATTGTACAGAGTTAGAACCTCAAGACCACATTAAACAGACTTCGTACCCCAAGAACACATTATACAGCGTTCAAAATCTCAAGACCACATTATACAGAGTTCTAAACTTCAAGACTACATTATACAGAGTTAGAACCTCAGGACCACATTATACAGAGGTCTAAACTTCAAGACGACATTAAACAGAGTTCAAAATCTCAAGACCACATTATACAGAGGTCTAAACTGAAAGACCACAATATTCAGAGTTAGAACCTCAAGACCACATTAAACAGAGTTCGTACCTCAAGACCACATAAAACAGAGTTCGTACCTCAAGACCACATTAAACAGAGTTCGTACCCGAAGACCACATTGAACAGAGTTCGTACCCCAAGACCACATTAAACCGAGTTCGAACCCCAAGACCACATGACTATATCATACAGAATTCGAACCAAAAAACCGCATTATACAGAGTTTGAACTCCAATACCATATGATTACGTAATACAGACCAAATAATTCAGGTCTGAAAAATCTGGTCTTGGATTTTGAACTCCAAAACCACATTATATAGTTTGAAGTCCAAGACCACATTATATAGAGTTCGAACTTCAAGACCTCATTATATAGAGTTCGAACTTCAAGACCACTTTGTACACAGTTTGAAATCCAAGACCACATTATACAGAGTTCGAACTCCGAAACCACATTATATAGTTTGAAATCCAAGACCTCATTATACAGAGTTCGAACTCCGAAACCACATTATATAGAGTTTGAAGCCAAAGAACACATGTTACAGAATACCAAAGCCGGTATGTGTTTTGTGGACAACCTGCTGAGTACCTCAATACATAGAGACGCGCTTGTTTGTCAGTTCGTGTCTGGAACACGCGCTCGCGTCTAGTTTGGAATGATATATTGGCAAGATCTTCATACTAGCGTGCCAGCAACGGTACGCACTCATGAGGAATAGGTTATGACAGAATTCAGTGAATTGGTTCAAGATGTTTATGTTTACTTGTATGTTGTGCTGTGTGAGGGGACAGATGCACAAAGTGATAGCATAGTGTTAACGTTCAGTAACCCAAAGGCGGATTTAGGATTTAAAAATAGAATTGTGGGTCTGTGTGTGTGTCTCCCTACATATTATAGTAATCAGTGGTACAGTTTCGGCGTTGTGCATCTGGTGTGACTGCATGCAGTCTATGAACTAGAAGCAATGTTTGATTTCCGAAAGTGGATGTTTGTTTGTTTGTTGTTTAACGCCGCACTCAGCGATATTCCAGCTAAATGACGACAGTCTGAAAGTAATCGAGTCTGAACCATACAATTCAGTGATTGGCATCATGAGCATCGATCCACGCAGTTGGAAAGCGATGGAATGCATCAACCAAGTCAGCGAGCCTGACCACCCGATCCCGTTAGTTGCCTCTTACGGCAAGAATGGGTTGCTGAAGACCTATTCTACCCCGGATCGTAACGAGTCGAAAGTGGATTTGAACATATGGAAATGAAAATTGAAAAGCGGACGAAAATGAAAATAAAATAAAAAAACTTTTTGGTATATTTCAGAGCACATCTGTGTAATATATATCATGCAAGACTAGTGAGAAAACCAATAAACCGTACAAGGTCGCAGGTCCCATTCTGTTCGTCGTGATGACAACTGCGACACTTATGCATGTGCAACTGTACTTGTGTACCAACTGAAGGTGATGCTGGAGCCACTAATGTCCACTCACCAATGATGACCCACATTACACAAATACAATTTCTCCGTTTCACTCAAGGTACGAGATACAATGTCTGACCCTGTGATGAAAACGGACAACACACTGTGAGCATAGTCTTACCTGGTGTCTTCAACAATAAGCGCATGCACCGTCAGAAGACCCCCATGCAATAACTTTCACGAACACCTGGTGTTATTATCACTGATATTCAGTTGTCTATTCATATAATTTTCACAGCTATTTGCCCTTTACCCCAAGTGGAATCTGTTTAGGTAGAAAATCTAGGGTGGTTATTCTCTTGCATTGACAATTTGTTTTGTATATATGTTGCAGTCAATGTATTTAATCAAGCAATACATGTATGTATATAGACTGAAAATGAGACCGCATTTTGGATAGATTAAGTCAAATGAATTAGACTCCTTAATTTAATCTCCTCATTACGAAGATCAAAGTAACTTCTGTAAGTATGCAGTTTACACAATATATTGGAAACTATATAATGTCAATTCAAGCACATCTGTGACTTGATTCTATTATTTGAACGCTCCGTTATTTTTCAGGAATGGAGAGTTATCTTGAACCAGCATTTGAATTAATTTCCACTTGGTATAGACGGAAGTGCTTTTTACATTTATTGACCAGTGAATAATTTCATTTTCTTCCCGACAACATGTTTCGCCAGCAGGGTTCGAACCCGCATCGTTTGATTAAGAACGTGTAATTGTCAACCTCATGTTACCTGTACAACAATGTTCATATTTATAGGTACTAGATAAACCTTTGACGAGAAAAAAAAATCAGGTACATCCTTGTTCGAGGCTATTTCCTATTATTCCCGTCAGCATGTATTAACAATGTGCAAATGATTGATAAATACTGGTTAACCTGGTACCATGCATTGTAAATGTCAGTTCGCGACGGGGCATGACGCACGTGCAACAGCGGCAGAGAACACATCCCTCGTACATCACACAAGGGCGACTCGCGCAGTATTAATACAGACAACAAAGAGTTCTAGTTTATTTTTCAAATATTTTCCACAACAGAATATTTTGTCCAAATGTAAAACTTGGGATTAATTTTAAGTAGGGGAAAAGCCTCGTTACTCTCAATTCTTAAAAAGTAATGGGCCTCGGCCCCTGTGGCTCTCCTGCTCCATTACGTTGAAGGAGTTACTCGGATATTCTCTCTACGTAAAACAGATCAGAAGCCAGATAGTTACACCAATAATTGGTAGCAGTGACCCGAAACAGTCTCCTCATTAAAGAATATAACCTGATCAGACACCCAGTAAGTACACTAGTTACATGTCAAAACCTATAAAATAAACAGGTCAGTAATTCTATGACATTGCTCTGTCAACTTTTGCAATGGCTACTTCAATGGAAGCTTCTTTTCATGAACAGTTGTTCAAAACGAAAGAGTCAAACAAATCCTTATTATAGAATAATTTGCGTTACTTGAAGAACTCAAAGAAGCTTCATCTGATAAGACCATATAGACTTATTGTAATGTCCCTTCAGATCAAGTTATACCCATGAAGACAACATACAAAATACAATATAAAAATACATGATGATCAACTGAATACTTTTTCTCAGAAGCAAGTTGCCATCCAAAACATTTTGGTGTAATGATTGGTAGCAGTTTAGTATAGTATACATGCGGGATTAATAGTCTCACGTTAGTTTAAACCTTTTAGAATGAAGTATGTATGAATGTACTGATTTCAAGATATGTAAGTTACCAGTTTTTGTAAACTTAGCGTTACCATTCAAAAGTGTGTTAAGATCAACTCCCTCCGAGTAGAGGAATGAATATGCTAATATCACTCGTGAGTTAGTAGAGCTGTACAAATCTATTTGCATCGAATGTCAGAAGAAGCGTTAACGAATAAAGGACTCTAATACGGTTTGAAGAACTAATCAGTTAATTGTGGAAACATTTTTAAGTACTTACAGAAGTTACTTTTATCTTCGTAAGATCAAAACGGATCCAAATTAAAATGAGGATTCATTTCAGTCCATCTGTCTTAAATACATGTGTATGTATACTGACTGAAAATTTGAGTCAATATGCATATTGGCCGGTTATAGATATTGACTGTGACATATAAATATTTGAACTACATGGTAAAGAAATGATACACAAAACACTCACCTGCTCTCCAACTGATGAGCGTCTGCTAGGTAGAGCTGACTGGATGTGACTTATCACGTGACTAGGCACGTGCTGTATCCAAGAAACGTGCACCTTGTCACAAGTGGAGTGCGAACGCACAACTCATTGTATGGGGGCATCAGGGTTTTTGTTTGCATGCTTTTGTAATAGCTGACTTAAAAAACCGAAATGTATTGAAAATGACATTAAAGATTTCATTATTAACGCACATGTGGATGCGTGTGCTCCGGACCGGCTTTGACATTGTAGTACGTAAGCGCAATGAAGTGGTGAAACAGTGGCTGTAGTTTGTGTGACTCACTATCCTTATAGGTAACATGTGGTAATGAAGATTCATTGACACGGATTCTGATTTAGTGACAGTGTCAGAGTTACCAATAGGAATATCTCTGATGGGAAAACTGTTGTAAAAAACGACTGCTTTAGCCACTCGACTAACCCAGCTCCAGCCAATGCTATGGTGACAACCGAATTTCTTTTCAACATTCTATTATATAACTGATGTCTATGCATCACGGGTGTCTGGTTTCTCACCCTTAAACCGACATACATTGGACAGTTCCCACAAAATTGGTTCATGTCATCAACAACACTTTGATTGTTAAACTCAAGTTGGATGTAATCTTATATCTATGATTAAATTAACCTCGACCATGATAAGAAAGAGCCATTTCGTGTGGTATTCAATTTATTTATCTAATTATCAATGCTATGGTCTGAATAAAAATATAATGGAAGTGATGTTGTTTCAATGAGGAAGTTTCCTGTTCGCAACGGAATATGCCCCAATCAGTTTCATAAATGTTATCATTTGTATGCAAAAGATATGCCTTCGTGTAAGCCAGTACACGTTTACGGCCTAGCACATCAAACTCGTCGGCCAAAACATCCGATATAAAACTCGTATTTCCTCTATGAGACGCTCGGACGTCCACCAATTTCGCGAGAGCCGTTGACTCGGCATGTATTAGGGACCTGGCTCGTATTCGAGACCCATTGTCTATTGAGGAAA